CTTCAAATAAACTACCACAACAATCTCAGCCTTAAACACATCCATCAGCCATCCACTTGGCCTGAAATCGGACGACAGGGACACATATTATCATACATCGGCCAGCCAGCCTCTTTGAGAACGTAAATGGAATCTGTCTCGCGAAGAAAAGACAACGTGTTAAAAACCGTTCTGCTCTGTCAATACCGCCAGATGTGACCTTTCGTTGTGGTTTCTTGTGACAGCATTTGCTTATTCCGTACTGGTCTTTTTTGGCGACCAAAGCATTTGCAGCAAGAATGTGCGAATTCTTCCTACACAAATGTTCGTTCGCTAAGCCAAGCCATAATATAAAAGATATTATAGAAATGGAATGCAACTTCAAAATTAGGAAGAAAAAATTGGTCAAAGTGCAATTATCATTTCAGTAGCATTTAATTCTGTCTATTTTCTGCTCATTTAGTATTTTTACAAAGTATATTTTTACCGTTTGAATTGATTTCACTTCCGAAGTCCATTTTCTTCTACTAAACAATGAAAAAGTTGCATGGCGATATGGCTCAAGGGCAAGAATAGTAATGGTGATAATAGCGATCGATCGTATCTAAAATTACATAACACTAAAACATTGCACTAAAGACGAGGAAGAAAGATAATGATGATAATCCAAATTAGTTACCTCATAAGAGTAATATATAATTAAATGAAGTGTTTTTTTGAAATAACTAGCAAGAAAATCGCTTTCGCAACCAGCAGATATACAGAAAACATTTGCGCATGCGTTAACTAAAATGTACTTGTGTTAATCTCAATTTTCAGTAAAAAAAAAATATGATAGAGTAAAAGAAATAGGCTAAGCTATAATTTTATGAACTCGTCATTTCTAATTTAAGATACGATAGTAATTTTGAGGAGAACTGAAAGGACTTCTGGCAAATCTTCTAATCAAATTATAATTTCAGTGAAAATGCATCAATGTTGTGATAAGTTTTTATTTGTTAATAATTAAAGTTTAGCATCTTTAAAATGATATTAGTACAAATGATGAAAACTTACCAAACATAGGCAAAGTGATGAATTCAATGGAATAACTATATAAAATGAATGAATATAAACGCTTCTGTTGCGCTTTTGCAACTCGAATAGAGTCAACACCGAGTGGTTTATACATACTTATTTTAAACGATCCCTGCAATAACGAAATGATTATTGTTGCAGAGATCATTGATAATTTCATTTAAAGTTATCACTGAGTTTAGAAAAGTGTGTGATAGTTAAAATGAAATTACTTGAATTTACGAAAAAAATTACCTTCTCAAATACTTCTACCTGACTAATCGTAATTATATTCCTCATTCTAAGGAATATAATTATTTTGATGGAATTTCTTACAGTTTCAAAATTTATAAAATTTTACTATTAGAGCAGCAATGAATAATGAAATAAACAATGTGATATGTGTTAGAAAATAAGGTATACGATATATGGACTCTGTAAATAGATAAGTTACAGAAGTACTCCAAATAAGAATTGAAGTATGTAATGCAACATAGTATGGTTTTTGACTCCTGAAAATAGAGAAAAGATAATAAACCATCAATAATTTCAATTCAGATCCAGAAAATACATTTCAGTAGGAAAAACCAAATGTGCGGAAAAAAGAACAGAAAATGAAATAGCCTTCATATATTATACTCCAAATCAAAGCTTTATTTCAACACATACATTTTGAGATTTCACATTAAAATAATATAATAATAATTTTCTATCGTAAAAAGTAAAAGAAATGAAGAATAATACTTACCTATTGGAAAACTTTTTTGTATAAAAAAAAGGTTTCACGTAGGGTAAGTAACAAATTATGACTGCATAGAGTGTTAAGGCATGAAACCAAATGCTTCCTAATTTGACATAAAATCGCATCCATTCTCGAATTTCAAATCTAAAAATAACGATTGCTTTATAAGTTGATCAAATTGTCAGATCATGAAATTCCAATATCGATCATTTTAATACAAAATAGATCTGATTTTTTTGAATTGTGAAAAAAATGTGAGAAATTTGATCTTTTTCTATTCATCCTTATGTAGGTATTAATTTTACATCAGTACTTTATTATCCCAAACACTTTATTATTGCAAACTGAAACTAAAGAGACACTTGTGACAATCTAAATGAATTGAAAATGAATCGAAATGAATTGAAAGCGAAACTTACAAATGTAATTTGCTTTCTGTAATAGAAATAAATAGTTTTGCAACATTAATTGCATCAATTATAGAAGCAGCAATAGCCGATGTTACGCAAACAATCATTAAATTCAGTGTGAAATATTTGAAAAATCCATCTTTCACTTTTGTAAATATTAAAAACAATATGAAAGGAATAATAATAACATTACCAACTGTTGCAAGACACGCTACCACGTGGCGTCTGTTGTATAAAGCTGCTAAACAAACGTATCGCGATTTTGTTTACTATCAAAATATGTGGTTTAGCACAATATTGAATTTATTTAATATAAATAGAATATTGGGAATACAGTAATTTCATGCTACTATTTTTTCACAACCGATTTAAAAAATAAACAATCAATGGCACAAACAATCTATCATATTTGTCTCTAAAATTCTTTTATTCATTGATTAGAACAATGAACAATATTTTCATGAAAAGAGCTATTGAAAATATCTTTTATGTCTTTGTTACAAAGAATCGTAACGAAAAGTAAGTTGAAATGAAAATTGTAAACTTACAGCATGAGAGACCCTGGCCTGTACAATAAGGTAAGCTTACATTTATTTCGATATAATTACTTTCATTGTAATAAACGGTGTCATTCATTTAGCTGCAAACAATATTTTATTTAAAAGAGTAAAGGCGGTAACGTCAAAGATCACGTAAGTTTCCGTTTAATTAATCAAAAGGTACCATCTAAGAGTCATCGAAGCACGGGTGAAATCTATTCATCAAGCTAATGAAGTTCTGCTGTGGAGTATTGTAGATATCTGCCAAATATATTAATCTATAATGTTATGAGTCGTTACTCAATCTTTATTGCACAATAAATAAAAGTTATATATAAAAAAGAAAGAAAGCGTTTGTTCTTCATCATCTATTAATGTTTTATTTTGATGGAGAAAATAAAAGAAAATAAGAAGTGCTTGCACTTATTATTACTATTTTAATTTGGAAGGATTCTCCTTTTTATCAATTTAAAAATCTCTGTCAAAATCATAATATCATTAAGTGCCCTTAATTTTCTGCACGAAATACTTATTCCATTGAAATCAGAACTGAATTATTTCATTATTATTCTTCATCTCAACTCTCCGTCACTTATTATTATCTTTGCTTTTTTTTGTTTTTATTATCCAGTCGTCCTATGCTTATATGATTGTAGTAGACATTGTGAAAATTTGCATTAATTATGTCGAGCATAAATTAATGATCTCATTTATTTCAACTATTTAATAATTTCGAATGGTTTTGAATACTGCTCAAATAAAACTTAGTTATTGAAATAGTCGTTAAATGAAGTAAGACGAGGAAGTTCTCTCTAAAACATTCAAAGTGAATTATTAAGAATATTAAACTATATAATCATTTGATATTTATAATGACATCAAATAATCTCATAAAATTTTTAAAATTATAATTTCATCTATTTCTAGTGATGCAATGTTAAATAAGCAAGTGTTTACATTTGTAGAAATATTTCTTAAAATTATTATATTTCACCTGTGTTTTGTCGAGATACTAGCATTAAAAAATTTTAATTTATGCTATTATTCTAATCATTTCCGGTTACATATTGCTTTTTTTTATTTCATTCATTTTTTTTTTTTTTTTTTTTTTTATTTATACAACATAATTTGCATCCAATTTTAATTCTAAATATTTCTTTAAAAAAAAAAAATCAAAATTTTTCACAGAGAGCAGTCGTCACTTCATATCATAGTAGTACTTTCTACAATAACACTAGACATAGAATCTAAACTCAATGGAAATTATTGTCAAAATGAATTTCATTTATTTTTATTGGAAAAAAATTGTTCTCTAACATCTTCTTTACTTGTTATTCATATTGAATATGTACTTAACTTTTGCATAATTCATAAATTAAAATCTTAAAAATTGAGCTTAATGTCACATTCACCTCTTTTCTTAAAGGACATTTATTCGATACATGATGTATACTTTTAATTCAAATGACTTTTGATTAAAATAAAATATAAATTATTTGATTTCATTGAAAAAAAAGTGATTTATGCAATTATTAATTAATTTAATAAATCAAATCTAGTCGAAAATTTTTACATTCGTAATAAAAATACTTTAATTAGTATATAATAGTACATATTAAAACACCAATTGAATTTATTTTTTTCCTTTTTATTTGTAAATTTCAAAAATTATGTATGAAAAGAGGAAAATTATGGCAATGTGAATTTATTATCTCAAACATACAATATAAATTTGTTAGTTACAATTTAAAGAAGGAATATTATTGCTAAAAATTTATCGAATATAGCTATGTTTGCTTCTAAATCAAAATTATATTGCATATACTTTATGGATCAAAAAGTATTGCAAAACATTTTTTCAGAGGATCTACAAAGAAAAAACTTATTCTCAATCCTGTAATTGGAACAAATTAATGTGAAAATATATGAAAAAAAGGCAGCTATTCAATATAGAAAAAAAAAAAAAAAAATGTTTACAAAATTTGACAAAACAAACAAACAAACAAACGAAAAAAAAACAGCAAAAGGAGAAAATCCCGTTATAAAAAAAAAAAAAAAAAAGAAAGAAAAAACCAACATATTATCAAGAAATATAAGCTAGCAAACTTTGCAAGAAAACATTGTTGAATAATATAGAATTATAGCAAAAGTTATACGACTAAAAGTAACATAAATTTATTATAATTAATAAAAAAAAGAAGACATTCATTAATAATAGGTAAATCGTAAGGTAGGCATTAAATGCTTTATTTGAAATAAAATATTTAATGAATTTTAATATTTTGAAACTCCTTTTGTTGATTTCGTTGTAGTAATTTCGGTCCGATAGCGCTCAGTACCACCTCCAATAGTTGGTTCAAAATTATGTGATCGTTTCACTGATGTTTTCTTATCATAAACTTCATCTTCAGCTATTGAATCACTAATAACTGATTCCAAATCACGATCCTATGAAATGAAATTACATCATATGCTTATATTCTTACTTATCATTAATTTTAGTACAAATAATTTTACTTTAATTATGAAAATATTTATATTTATCCATTTGTATGGATCAATATTTGCTAATTTCTTTATTGATCGTTTATCATTTTTATTTTTGTTTATTTAATTGAAATAAAATAGATATTATTTATCACTAACCGTACTAAATTCACAATTTCTACTCGTTGTTGTATTCCAATCACGTCGTGCATTACCAATGCTAAATTCTGCTATACTTTCACCTCTTTCTTGTTCATCTTTATCCAGCAATGAACTAGAATTATGTGTTCCAACCTGAAATTTCACAAAATAAATTTAGAATAAAAAATGAATAATGATTGTAAATTTTAATGGAATAAATGAAATCTATTTTATACAATAAATCCAACCTGGCATGATGAATGTGATTCAGTTGTAACTTCAATTGGTGGATATACGTGAAATTCCGCGGTAGTGCCGTGAATATCAGCAGTGGTTAATGTTTTTTTGGTTTCTTTTCTTGTAACATCAGTGATCACGTGTCGTTTAATTTCTTCACGTATGGTATATTCGCTTGATGACTGTGACGTAGAATCAAATGCATCATTATCACGATCGAGATGTACACGTGGAATACGCATACCATCATCGAGATAGTCATGAAGTCTTGATACGGCTAACGATCGATGCTGCTGATCATCCATCATACCATTTCCAGATTTTAGTTTCGCACGTGGGATATCTGAGAAAGAAAAATTGAAAAATAAATTTTTGCATAAATTTACAAGCGATTTTTCATCAATATGAAACAACGTCATTAAAAAAAAAATAATAAACAATTAATTGTTTAATTTCATACCTTCAAAAGTGTGTGTATGTTTTACATATTTCTCAAGAGAAAGAAAAAAAAAATTTATACACAACAAATTGGTAGCATCGTTAAATATTATATATTAAAATTATTATTGCTCACAATTTTAGCTTTAAAAAACTAACCAATTTCAGGATAATATTCATAACCTGCGGCACTCATTGCTGAAAAATCAGCACCACTTTCGCTTGATGTTGATGCTTCTAGGGTTGACCAAGGCCAAGCACCTTTGCGATATGTGAATGGTTCACGATACAATAAATTATGACGCTTGAAACAGATACATTTCGTGCAGCAAACAGCTGTAAAATGTATAAATATATAATTTAGAAGAAAAAAAAGCTAAAAGTTTCAAATTTTATTCCTATTTTATTTCAATTTTTGAAAAATCAAAATCAAAAAAGATACCAAGGTGTTAGTAGAAGGAAAAGAACTGTCAGAATAACAAGTGGTATCATTAAAGCTTTCGATGCTGCCACATCACAGAATTCACCAGAACACATACGAGGTATTATTTGTCAAAGTACTGTGTACACAATTACCATGCGAATTACATAGATCACAAAAGTAATGCACCGCAAAGTTCCATCTGGAATTTGAGCGTAGAACATTCAGCTACATTCATTTCCATCAGTAGGCAAATCCATCCGTTCGATCTTTTTGTTTTGATTGTATTGTCTCCTTTTAGTGAATTAATTGTGGCTAAGGCTAAAGTTTCATCCTTAACATTATATCTATTTGCTTTCTTCTCCTTTGACTCCGCTTGACTTCTAGCAATTTCTTCATTTCTTGTCAAGCATTGTCGGATACCTTTTTAACTGATCAACTCATCGACGCTTTTTTTAATTGGTATAATTTATTCACTATCCATGCTGGTAATTTATTCTCAATTAAAATTTCGATATTTGGATGTTCTAAATTTTTAAGCTGTCAAAGTACTCTCTGCATGGCTTAGATGGTTGTTTTCCAATAACGGTCATTTCTTTTGATGGAATTCAGTTCATTGTAAAGTGTTTTCTCTATAATGAAAGGTTTTCCATTAGTAAACCCATTATTACATCGTAAATTTCTGGCTCTATATCATAATCTTTTATAGTTTGCAATGCATCTCCTTTTAGACAAGATATCAAGTAGTTTAACTTCTGAATGACTGGGATGTTTTGTTCATGAACTGCTACTTTGATACTACTGAAATTGCCTCACAAATTTGGATCCCACTAAATTATCAGTAGTAATTGTGCGTATTTTACTTAGAGAATCATTCTCAGAGAATCACACCATTCTCTGAGAATGATTCTCTGGTATCTTCTTGATTTAAATGTTGAAGTAGCAAGTAATAATCATTACTATATATTTCAAGGGTAATGATAGTTTCTCTAATTCTAGTACTCAAGCTTAAAATACCTTGTCAATCGTCAACCATATTGGCATATTTCGCTTCTTCCTCCTTCCTCTTCGTTGTGGCAGTCATCCCCTGAATGATATTCCAACCATATTTGATTGGCTGTTTCGAACAATTCAGCATAATATTCGAGATATGTGACTTTCTCTTTGACGATCCGCCATTTAATTTCATATTGTTGCTTGAGTTCCTCTCGCGGAAGTATTTGACTCGAGAGGGTTAGATCGAGTTTGCTAAGAAGTTCTCGAATTCTTGATTTTGATATTTTGGTTCTTTTAATTATACTTTCAGGCATATTTCCCGGCTCATGGCAATTTAATTACCGTAAACTTAGGGTTCAGTCTGATTATAACTTGTGACTCAGAGATTGAATTGGATTTTCGTATACTCAAGAGTCATCCTTGTTTCTTATTGCGATTGGTATAGACAAATGTGTTGAATGAAAGGTTTGTTATAAAGATTTTATTCGCTAGTAACCACAGTATATAGGTATTAATCTATAGCAATGATACAGTGATAAATTTGTAGAGAATCTACGAATGAAATGAAAAAAATGGATGGCTTATGTGATTAAAGAGCTATCAGATGATCTTTACTCTTTCTATAGTAAGGGATGGGTTCTAATATTGTAGCTTCTCAAAGAAGGACTATTAGCTTAGAAAACCTCTACAGTATTTCGACATTGCAATCAAATTTGGTTTGGAACAAAGGAGCAGTTTTTAACATGTTAAACAATGCATATACCATTTGTTATGAGATGAAAACGTCTAGACAAGCAGATAAGCTCAACTACAATGGGAATAGATGATTGCTTACATGGTGCAATTTGAAACAGTTTTACAGTTCTAATGTTCAATTAAGACAAATTTTAGTATTATGAGTGTGAGTATTTTATATATATTATAAGTTATTTGGACATTCGCGAGATTATTTCGAATTTCACGACAGCAGATCTTGAACGTTCCATCAGCGCTCCCTCCGCACCATCCTAAATGTCCACTGTACTGGTTACGCGACCAATATTATCATCTTCGAACAAGCAAGGATGAACAGTATAGAGGCTGCTTGAGAGATAGTTAAGCTGCTTGGTTCACATCGCCAGGGTGAACAATAATCGCTGCCTTAAGACTGCGATCTGTGTTGAATTCGCTACTGGCTATCGCAACAATCTCAGCCTTAAACATATCCATCACCATCAGCCATCCACTTGGCCTCAAATCGGACGATATGGATATATATTATTATTATACATAGGCCAGCTAGTGCCTTTGAGAACTATGTGGAATCTTGCGAAGAAAAGATTAAAAACCGTTCTGCTCTGTCAACACCGCCAGATGTGACCTTTCGTTGTCATTTTGTGACAGCACTTGCTTATTTCGTATTGGTCTTTTTTAGCGACCAAAGCATTTCTTCCCACACAAATGTTCCTACGCTATATGTAAATTATTATTATAGAAATGGAATCCAAATGCAAAATCAGGAAGAAAATTCTGTCTTATTTTTCGTTCATTTGGTATTTTTACAGAGTATATTTTCACTGTTTGAATTGATTTCACTTCCGAAGTCCATTTTCTTCTACTAAACAATGAAAAAGTTGCATGGCGATATGGCTCAAGGGCAAGAATAGTAATGGTGATAATAGCGATCGATCGCATCTAAAATTATGTGACACTGAAAGAAAGAGGAATTACTGGAAAGATAAAAGATAATCAATGATATGGAAAGCAATGATTAATTAATTACCTCATAAAAGTAGTAAATGATTAAATTAAGTATCATTTTGAAATAACTAGCAAGAAAATCGCTTTCGCAACCAGCAGATATACAGAAAACATTTGCGCATGCGTTAACTAAAATGTACTTGTGTTAATCTCAATTTTCAGTAAAAAAAAAATATGATAGAGTAAAAGAAATAGGCTAAGCTATAATTTTATGAACTCGTCATTTCTAATTTAAGATACGATAGTAATTTTGAGGAGAACTGAAAGGACTTCTGGCAAATCTTCTAATCAAATTATAATTTCAGTGAAAATGCATCAATGTTGTGATAAGTTTTTATTTGTTAATAATTAAAGTTTAGCATCTTTAAAATGATATTAGTACAAATGATGAAAACTTACCAAACATAGGCAAAGTGATGAATTCAATGGAATAACTATATAAAATGAATGAATATAAACGCTTCTGTTGCGCTTTTGCAACTCGAATAGAGTCAACACCGAGTGGTTTATACATACTTATTTTAAACGATCCCTGCAATAACGAAATGATTATTGTTGCAGAGATCATTGATAATTTCATTTAAAGTTATCACTGAGTTTAGAAAAGTGTGTGATAGTTAAAATGAAATTACTTGAATTTACGAAAAAAATTACCTTCTCAAATACTTCTACCTGACTAATCGTAATTATATTCCTCATTCTAAGGAATATAATTATTTTGATGGAATTTCTTACAGTTTCAAAATTTATAAAATTTTACTATTAGAGCAGCAATGAATAATGAAATAAACAATGTGATATGTGTTAGAAAATAAGGTATACGATATATGGACTCTGTAAATAGATAAGTTACAGAAGTACTCCAAATAAGAATTGAAGTATGTAATGCAACATAGTATGGTTTTTGACTCCTGAAAATAGAGAAAAGATAATAAACCATCAATAATTTCAATTCAGATCCAGAAAATACATTTCAGTAGGAAAAACCAAATGAAATTTTGTGCGGAAAAAAGAACAGAAAATGAAATAGCCTTCATATATTATACTCCAAATCAAAGCTTTATTTCAACACATACATTTTGAGATTTCACATTAAAATAATATAATAATAATTTTCTATCGTAAAAAGTAAAAGAAATGAAGAATAATACTTACCTATTGGAAAATTTTTTTGTATAAAAAAAAGGTTTCACGTAGGGTAAGTAACAAATTATGACTGCATAGAGTGTTAAGGCATGAAACCAAATGCTTCCTAATTTGACATAAAATCGCATCCATTCTCGAATTTCAAATCTAAAAATAACGATTGCTTTATAAGTTGATCAAATTGTCAGATCATGAAATTCCAATATCGATCATTTTAATACAAAATAGATCTGATTTTTTTGAATTGTGAAAAAAATGTGAGAAATTTGATCTTTTTCTATTCATCCTTATGTAGGTATTAATTTTACATCAGTACTTTATTATCCCAAACACTTTATTATTGCAAACTGAAACTAAAGAGACACTTGTGACAATCTAAATGAATTGAAAATGAATCGAAATGAATTGAAAGCGAAACTTACAAATGTAATTTGCTTACTGTAATAGAAATAAATAGTTTTGCAACATTAATTGCATCAATTATAGAAGCAGCAATAGCCGATGTTACGCAAACAATCATTAAATTCAGTGTGAAATATTTGAAAAATCCATCTTTCACTTTTGTAAATATTAAAAACAATATGAAAGGAATAATAATAACATTACCAACTGTTGCGAGACACGCTACCACGTGGCGTCTGTTGTATAAAGCTGCTAAACAAACGTATCGCGATTTTGTTTACTATCAAAATATGTGATTTAGCACAATATTGAATTTATTTAATATAAATAGAATATTGGGAATACAGTAATTTTCATGCTACTATTTTTTCACAACCGATTTAAAAAATAAACAATCAATGGCACAAACAATCTATCATATTTGTCTCTAAAATTCTTTTATTCATTGATTAGAACAATGAACAATATTTTCATGAAAAGAGCTATTGAAAATATCTTTTATGTCTTTGTTACAAAGAATCGTAACGAAAAGTAAGTTGAAATGAAAATTGTAAACTTACAGCATGAGAGACCCTGGCCTGTACAATAAGGTAAGCTTACATTTATTTCGATATAATTACTTTCATTGTAATAAACGGTGTCATTCATTTAGCTGAAAACGATATTTTATTTAGAAGAAAAAAATAATAAACAATCAAAAGTAAAAGCAATCAAGTCGAAGTCTACGTAAGTTTCTGTTTAATGCAAAATGTACGATGTAAAAGTCATCGAAGATGGATGAAATCTACTCATCAAGGTTGTGTCGTGCAATGTATTTGACAAAAGCTTACAAAAAATTTGAGAATAAATTTTTTACAATTTTGTGTAGGTATGTAACAAATATATTAATGTAGAAAATTATGTCTTTACTTAAGTAATAAGTAATTCGTCCAAAGTCACATATAAAAGGAAGGAAAGCTGTTAATTCATCACCTGTTAATGTTTTATTTTGATGAAAAAAGCAGAATAAAATAATAAGTGCTTGCACTCTTTATTACTAATAAAATTTTCATTGTCACTCTTTTTTTATTATGTTTAAAATCTCAATCGAAATCAGGTACCATTAAATGTCTTTAAGTTTCTACATTAAACATTCATTTTATTGAAATTACAACAGACAATTCATTGTTCTTCATCTCATTTATTCAATAATTTCAAATTGTAATGTTCTCGACTACTATCACCAGTTATCATTACCCTTGTTTTTTTTTTTTTTTTTTTTTTGTTATTTTATATTTTACTCTTCCCATGCTTGTACAATTATAGTAGATGTGGTAAAAATTCGGACTGATCAGTTCAAACACATTTAATGATCCTTATCATTTTGAATATTTAATAATTTCAAATGGTTTTGAGTATAACTCCAGCAAAATTTAGTACTGAAATAATCATTCAATGAAGTCAGACAAAAAGGTTTTTCTTAAACCATCAAAAATGAGATATTGGTAGATCTTGAACTTTTCAAACAGAAATTTATTAATATCTTGGCGATAAAGGACTAAAAATGAGTGAAATTATATCATAATAAAAATATCATGACAACATTATTTGTTATCATAATTATAACAAACTTTCACTTGTACTTGCAGCTATTTCAACTTCAGTTACATACAATGTTTTCAATTATTCCCGTTCCAACCTAATTTGCATTTAGTTTAAATTTAAAAAATTTGTTTAATAAAATTTAATCAAAATTTACCAAAACGTTGCTTCGCTTCAGCAAAATACTTCAAGCAATAACATTGGCTAATCGTTGGAAATGATTGTAAAAATGAACTTCATTCATTTTTATTGGAATAAAAAATTGTTTTCCAGTAGTACATACATCTTTTTTTAATTTTTTATCGTTTTGAAATATTTTCTTAAGCATATTTCATAAATTAAAGTCTTAAAAATTGAGATTGATATCACATCTACATTTTTTTATTACTGAGAATTTATTCCATGTATAAACACATATCCAAACAGTGAGAACGTTTAAGCACTTTTGACAAAAAAAAAGAAAAGGGAAAAAGATTCAATTCAAACGATTTATGATTCATAAGAGAAAAGAGTTTTAATGTAAATGACTTTTATTCAAATAAAATATGAATTATTTAATTTCATTGAAAAAAAAAAAAAACTCATATACAAAGAAAAATTTTAATTGAAAATGTGAAGCAAAAAAATAATTTACAGTTACTAATTAACTAAATAAATCAAAACTAGCATTTATACTAAAAATACACAGTAATGCAATTAGAGAAAGAAATTACTGTATTGCAAATTGTTATATTTTAAAAACATTATAATGCAATTTGGAAAAGAATTGAAGTATAACAATATGAATTAAAAAAAAAGCCAAATCATAAAAAAATCAGGGGAAAGAAGGCCATGAAAACAACAGCATGTTATCAAAAAATAAAAGTAATTGCAAAAAAAAAAAAAAATTGTTGAAATAATATAAAATTGCAGCAAAAGTTATAGAATTAAAAGTGACATAGATTTATTAAAGTTAATAATTAATATTAAATAACAACAACATTCACTAATGGTAAATAAATCGTATTTACATAAAAAAACATGGACACACATTGGCATACATGCATTCGCATGTAGTTATTAGATGCTTTACTTGAAACAAAATATTTAGTGAATTTTAATATTTCGAAACTCATTTTTGTTAATATTTTGGTACAATAGAGCTCAATACACATCCGATAAGTAATTCAAAATTATGCTTCAAAATGACAAACAAATAAATTAACACAGTATTATAATATTAAGGGATTTTACAAAAATCAAACTTGAACATTTCAATGAATAGAGAAGGACGCAGAAAAAGGAAAAAAAAATCCTATCAATTTAAAATTTGCAAGAATTTTTGTATAAAAATATGCAAAATATCTTCATTAAATAAGTAATTCCTTGTTGTGCAAAAATTGATTGAAAATAAAAATTTTACTAAATCCATTGGTTTTATGTCACTAATCTGCATTCAATTAAAATTTTAAGAAAAAAAGGAACCAATTCATAAATTTTGCTTACGATAGATCCAAATCGATTAGTTTGAGAACCATTACATAAGAAAATGATAAAAATTGATTTGAAAACAAAAGTACCAAAGGGACATAAACAGAGATTGACAATTTTCTCACATTATTCGTTTTTTGTTTCAGATAGAATAAAACGGGAACCGGCACGATAACCGACATAATAACAGTAATTTCTAATAGCTAGTTACAAGATAAATATTTAATGGTATCAATTCGTAAATTCAAAAAATAAAAATTTTTTTAGCTTCACAATTGATTTAAAAATGCGAAAATCTCTGAAAAGTTCATGATAAACTAACAGTATCGGAAATCCAATTGAAAATGCACACAAAGTTCTGCATTCTGTACATTTCCTTTTCTTGCTCTTTTCCTGAACATACCACTTAAATAACTAATTGAATCTGAAATACACGAACAGTAAATCTTGAACAAGCTTGAGCCAGCTGAACTGCATAAAATTCTTGCAATAAAATAAGTAACAGACAAGATAATACAGTTGATCAAACACGTAAAATACGTGTAGTAACAATAAGAATTAAAATGAAGAACGCAGTTGGTTAAACGATGTAAAATTAATGCATCAATAAGAAATACCAACCAAAAGCATGCAATTAGTTAAGTTGCATTGCATGCAAAATAATTAACAAGCAGAAACATGCTAGTTGAATCACGCAAAATACATGCAGTAACAATAAGTGGCAGGCAGAAGCATGCAGTTAATCGAACCACGTAAAATGAACACGTAAACAATAATTAGCAAAAGCAAGCAGTTAGTTAAACATGCAGCATGGATAAGCAGCAAATAAAAGCATGCAGTTAGTTGAAACACGTAAAATGAAGACATCAACAATTAGTTACACAGAAAAGCATGCAGTTACTCATACTACGTAAAATACATGCAGCAACAAAATGTAATGAACAGAAGCATACAATTAATCAAATCATGTCAAATACTTGCGATAGCAACAAACAACAAAAAAGCATGCCGTTAGTTGAACATGCAGCATGCATAAATAACAAACGAAAACGTGCAGTTAGTAGATGCACAAAGGCATAGAATCAGTTAAAAAAATGTAAAGCGAGCAGATGAGCAGTAAGTAACCAGCAAAACTTGCAATTAGCCTACATAAAATGAAAGCATCAAGAATAAATAAAAAGCAGAAATATGCAGTTAGTTGAACCCGTAAAATACATACAGCGAAAAAAAAAGAAATAGAAGCATATAATTAATCGAATTACTTAAAATACAAGCGACATTAATAGCTAACAAATAAAAGCATTTAGTTAGTTGAACCTTGTTAATTCCATGAACCATGCAAAATGTATGCATTAACAATAGATAACAAACAAAAGCATGCAATTAGTTAAAAAACGTAAAATAAGTGCAATAAAATTAAGAAACAATACCATGCAATTAGTTAGATCTACATAAAACTTATGCATCAGTAGTAAGTAAAGCATGCAATTAGTACATGCATCAAAAAGTAGCAAACAAAATAATGCAGCTTGTGAAATCACATAAAATGAATGCATCAACAATTAGTAACAGAGAAAAGCATGGAGTTACTCAAACCACGCAAATTATACGCAAACTATATGCAGCAGCAATCAAATTACATATGATACTTACAGTGGCAGTAAGCGGCAAAAAGCATGTAGTTAGTACATGCATAAATATAAGTAACCAACAAAAGCATGCAATTAGCTAATAAAATGAACGCATGAACTGTAAGTAACATGCAGTTAGTTGAGCTGCACTAATTTCATGCAATATTAATAAATAAAAACAGAAGCATGCAGTTAGAACGTGTAAAATTCATGCAATAACAATAAATAATAAACTGAAAGATGATGCAGTTAGTAGCTATTTCAAAATGCACAAAAGTAAAGAAAAAGAAAACGAATTTATTTATAATTCCAGAATAATGTGTGTGAATTTAGCGAATAGCATGCAACAATTAAAAGAACAGAACTGCGTGCAGATATGAAGTTAACTAAGTACCAGCCAAAAGTGCATCACGAGAAATAGGAAAATCTATCGGAAATCATGCAGTTAGTGAAATTAAATACTCAGAAAACATGCAAGAAAGAAACTAAACAAAGTTACAACTGAAAAAAATGTCAAAAATGAGGTCAATTTACGATAAATGAACCAAACTAACAGAAAACACAGAAAGAATAGAAATGCAAAGTCAGGAAATGTGCGACAAAAAAAATCTGGAAAATTGAAAATTGGCAAAGAATTTTAAAAACGAGGTAAAAGGCCCAAAAATGCAAAAATTGTGAAATATTCCTTTAAAAAATATAATATAAAATAATAAATTAATTAAGATTGTAGCATCAAAAATGAAAACAGAACAAAATTTTGCAAAAAAATCGTAAAAAAAAAATTAAAACTAAAAAAAAAAATTAATTTGAAATTAATTCGTGCGAAGTATTAAGAAAAATAAAAGTTTAAAAGGTGAACAGCTTAAAAAAAAGAAGATAAACAGCTTTAAAAAAAGTTCAAAAAGATAATCGAAAATATAAAAAATTTAAGATCCAAAAAAAGGATCAAATCCCAAAAACATAATGATTCAAAAGTTAGAAAATTGAAAGAAAAAGTTCATTTTTTGAAATATCTAAAAAGTAATCTAAAATTCAAAAACATAAGGAACTTTGAGATTTGACATATGATCTAAAATTCAAAAATCCAAAATTTTAAAAATAATCTAAAAATCGAAAAAATTATGGCGTTATGGCATAGATGAATGATCCTTACCTAAAATTATGCTTAATTTCCATTCGTTTTAGTGTCTTTTTTATTTTTGTTTTTTTTTTTTTTTGCTTTTTTTGTTTTTTATCTTTTTTATTTTTTTTTTATTTTTTATCTTTTTCTAATCTTTTTTCGTTTTTTTATTTTTTTTGTTTTTTTTACTTTATTTTATTTTTTTAATCTACTAACCCACTTGACCGGTCTAGCTGAATAGAGGGTGGAGAACTTGTTGAAACAGGCAGTGACAGGTCGACCGCATGGAGAATGCCAGACGGTATTATTGGTCTGAAACAGCGATTCACTGATTAGGAAAACTTATTGAATCACTGTTTTTTTTTTTTTTTTAAGAGATGAATGTTCTGTTTTCTCTAATCATTCAAGGTTTTGTTTTTTCAAACTTTCCAATTTTTCATGAATTTCAAACATTTCTCACCTGGAACGAAGAGGTGGTGGGTGTCCTCTTCTCTCCCCACAAGATTCAGACGGCGGCGTTTCACCTGTCTTTTTTTCATTACGGTTGCGCATGCCCTTGGGCACCAGTCAAGGGCGTGTAATTCCATTGCAGCAGTTTTCTGCACAACCGTAAATGAGGGCGGCAACAGGAGATAATGCCCACAACGGGCACAGAAACCTAGAATATGTATAGTTAAAGTGCTGTTTTTTGGACCAAGCCAAATGCATAACTAGGAATATCGCCGTAAACTACTTACCATTCTGCTTATGCATCCTCGACGTATGGATGCGCCACCCTTTCAGCGTCTCAAATTGCCTGTTGCAGATGCCGCACACTGAAAATAGAAAAATATTATTTGCGTAGACAGAGCTGATTATCCATCAGCATAGATGTTTTGTCTTTGATTTCATTGATAAAAGTGAAGCAAACTAAAATACAAATACATGGTTCATTTCATGCTAAAATTAAAAAATTACCGATGTTGACACTTCCTTCCGCCCGTACCACCGTGTACGGCTCCACCTGCGGCATCTCCAACTCCCTTCGAAGTTGTTCCAGAAGTTCCCCTAGATCTGCGGGGCGGAATGCTTCCGGTATTGCCGTAGCCAACGTCGCATTCGTGGTTGGAACCGTAATTCTTATCGTCCTTGATCTTCTAAAACAAATTTTGATTTAATCTGATTTATCCATTTTGTATGACTGGCAAAATTAATTTTGCTTTAATTTCTTTTCAATACATTAAATTAAAGCTTACAGGACGATCTCTCGAATTTCCTCCTCCGGTTCCTCACCACTTGCCTCCACCCCTGCCACCGGCACCTCAGGGCTTTCTTCCCTGCCTTCGCTATCTGGCAGAGGGGCACGCTCTGCTTCCGCTAGCCAATCGGCTTCATCATCACTTTCCGGCAGAGATGCCCACTCTGCCTCTTCAATATTAAATCCCGGCTCTTGAGGTGCCGGTCTCTCCTCCACTTCTTCCTCATCCCGCTCTTCTCCCACTTCTTTTCGCCCTTCATACTCAGCCAGCCTTCCTTCTACCTCGGTCAAGCGGGTCAATAGCAGGCTTTCACACTGAAAAACTTATGACGATTATTTTATCATTATTTCCAGAACCCATAATATGAATTAATAACATTTCTTATAATTTTTCTCTAGCACGATAAAGTACTAACACCAAGTAAAAACGAATAAATGAAAGGGATTAATCAATTTGTGAGAAATAAATAAATGAATTGAAAAATGGGATAATTACGTGTTGCCTCATATTCATAAATTCCTGTAATGCATGTAGCATTACAGGTTCGTTCTCCAAATAGCGGAGAACGTCAAATATTCCCGGTACTACCGGGACTTCTTCATTTGCAGAGAGCATTCTTCAAAGCTTCGACTTCAAAGCAATCTGAAATAAGCAATAATTAGTTCAAAGTTCATTAATTAAGCAAAAAATAATCATAATAATACGATAGAAATAAATGTCATAGGAAAAGGGTTAAGTGCAAATACGCATCAAAGATTCCATCATTCGTTTGATCCTTAGAGAGAGAGTTATGACTTATGAGAGCTCTGACATTGATCCATATAGACTGTTAAGTAATCAGTATAACTAAGTAATCTATGTGAGCACTCTTCTATACAAAAAGGAGCTTTTTTCTCTCTTTCTCTTTTTCAGTATTCTTTTAGGGTTGATGGAGAATAGAACCACTTAATGTATGAAGCATTTCTGCCCCATCCTTTTATTTATTGTTGATTTTTGTTTGTGTCTGTATTCCAGCATATGGGAAATAATATTCGATCATTGTTAAATTTGCAGTTTTCTTCGGAGAACTCGCACCTTTTCTCAACTTTATTATTGCTATTATTATTATAGCTACTGTTATTAATTACTATCATTATTGCACGAATTTGCATTCTGCACGATTGACATTCCACGCGTTCATCTTTTCTCTATACGTCAAATTATTAAATAATCAATCTCAAAAATTTATTATTCTCACTGAATTTGTTTTGCTTTTCCTTCTTTTTTTCGCTTGAAAAATTCTTATTGCATTTATTACCTTCTCATATATTTCGTCTCCTCTTTTGCTTTTCGGTTTTGAAATTTAACTAATTCATATTCAAATTGTTTTATTTCAGTTATGCGACATTCTTTACTGAATAATCCATAATAACGATCAGAACGGTCTCTTAGACTTCAATTATTATTGCATATCATTGATTTGTGCAAAAAAAGAACTTGAAGATTTATTTTAATATCCTGAATATTTTCATTTTTTCTTTAAAAAATTAGAATTTTGTTTTGTACTATTTCAAATTTTCATTTCGCGCCAATTTTTTTTTTTTTTTTGCATGCGGCCATCTTTTGATCTTATAAGGAAAGTTGGAACTTCTCTGAAATGACTGTTGATATTCTTCATTCAAGAATTTAGAAATCATTCGATAATTCCTTTCATATTACTTTAGTCATTTTTGCATAAAATATATATAATTAATAGAGCTTTTATAATCCTTTAGTAGCTTCTCAAAATTTCGTTAATTTTCATTAAGTAGATTGTCAGATTTGTTCTGTTATCATATATCTACAACAATTTGTATGGCTAATTTAATCATTTGTATTGTACGTAGTTGTTGGTACATTGTTTATTCGATGATAATTGAAAAGATATTTGAAATGATTTTTAGATTAAAAGTCATGGAAATCATGGGAAATTTTTTTCGTCTAATTAGAAAGAATAGAACCATTCAATGTTTGAAGCATTTCTAACCCTTTCTTTTATTGTTGATTTTTGTTAATCGTGTTCCGGCATATTTAATAATTGTTAGGTTTGAAATTTAGGTGTTATGATGCGCTTAGTTGCAAGTCGTTCGCTTTGAAAAATGTTCGAATTTCAAAAATAAATTTCGTTTGTTATCTGCACTCCAAAATGATTCTTCTTGGAGCGGTGAGTCTGTTACTATTAATTCCTCTTTTGGATCAAGTATTTATATTGCTGAAGACAACTCGAATTATTCTTAATCTATAGATAATTATTAATAAAATAATTTGTCATTTCTTAATTCACTTCTTATCTTTTATCTGTCCATGACATTTCTGTGTTATTTTACTTCTGAATTGCAAACGTTAGTAGAGAGAGCAAGAAATTTTAAAATTTTGATTTATTCATTTGCATTTGCTTAATATTCAATATGATTATATTTTTTTTTTCAACCTTTATTATCATCAGTATAATTTTTTTAATATTATTTCTGTATGTTCATATTTCTCCTTTTTATTTATTTTCTATTTCTTGTCAATTAGTGTCAATTTATGATTGTAAAGGTAATATTAAAGGTTGAAATATATGCCATTTATCATATCATAATTTCGAAATCGTCCTTATGTATCACTAATAGAAAAAAAATTAAAATTTCCAGAAACTTAGTAGCCAGGTTTGCAAGTTTATCTAGTGTTTCTTAGCTTTCTCATAATTATTCAGTGTAATATTGCGAGAATTTGTGAAAAAAATCAATAAAATCCGAACTTGTTCCAGACAAACTGATACATTCAAATTAACCAGACTTTATATGATTTATATAAAGTATGAAATTATCTGTGAAGCGATTAAACAATCGTTCAATCTGGAAAGTAAAAGTGAACGATAACGCAGCAGAAACTGAAACTCTTTCGATGTCATTCAAACAGGCGCAGCTGCAAGTAACCTGATTAAAAATATTCACTGATTCTTGGTCGGTCATTACGTGAATTCATTGTTTTCAGTTGTTTATGCTTTAAATATTTTGTTTTTTATGCTTTAAATATTTTGTAAAAACTCAACAATTTTTTTTTTTTGATTGCACGTCAAGTTCACGTAATGAGTCACGCATATATGTCCGCAGCTTTTTCCGAAAACTTCTAAGCAATTTTTCACGTACTCCGTCACAACTTTTCTCCAATGCACAATTTTCCGAAATGTTAGGTGAACCAAGCGTGTTTTCTCTTATGGATGCCAGTTAGCGATGTCCAATGTAGATAAGCTATAAATAAAAAAGGCATTTTGTCTCATCAATGAGTTTTATTTTTTATTGCGACCATGAAATGTCGCTTATTCAACGATGGGCTTGAAAATAATCTCTGTACGTCATAGAAGGCATATGAATCGAATTTTGTTATGCAGCGACGAATGACGCATTTTAAAGCAATTCTATGCTAACAACTCTGAAATCGCAAACTTTTGGGTTTATATTCTCAAAAAGTTAACGAGTAGTTTTGGTGTGCAAAGTAATATTAGAAATTATTTACAGGAATAAGGAAATAATAACATTAAAAGAACTGGCGCATTTTAAAGCAATTCTATGCTAACAGATTTGAAATTGCAAACTTTTGGGTAAATAATTAAAGAAATAACTGTTTTTATGTTAATCCAAATTGTGCTGAATAGCTGTAATAATTTTTTGCATAGTTTTTGTTAGCGAGAATGGGAGTAATGAAAAGATTTATCGAGAAAAACATCCTCAGAAGTTGTCCTGAATTCGGTTCTTGGGAAACTGACTTGGATATTTCTAAATGCATTTGTAAATCTTGATAACACCTGTCATATGGATTTCGTATTGTATGACTTATTTGTTGGTTAGATGGATTTCTGTGATCTTTATAAAATTTGTGTAGAAATCGTTCTCTTTTCTTCTTTTTCTTGCACACTATTTAAACAAATTACCAGAAATTTGTAATAACAGTGAATTCATTGAAAAACTTGAAATCTTGTGAGAAGGATACCTTAAATTAAGAAAATAAATGAAAGAAAATTATCATAGAATATAGTTCATTGTTTATTTACTCTGTCCATGTTGTTTACCATCATTCTGATTGCTAGGATATCATCCATTAGATCAATTTCAACCAATCATAAAAGCGATGAAGGAACACAGTCAATGAATTATCGTCACCTTCGATAAAATAAATAAGAACATCCAAGCTTTTTTGCATTTCATATCTCACATATATTGTAGGTTTATCATAATTTGAAAGTTCTGTTTGTCTTTAACACATGTTTTGCTCCACTCTAAATGGACGGATGATTTTATAGGGACATCATTGATGTCAACAGTGGACAGATTGTTGAATGTGAGTGCAGCAATTATGATACAATGAATGGAAATTCGAGTGATTTTATTGAGATATCAATCTCTAAAATACTTTACAGTGAAGTAATTTTATTAATTTGCTCTGTCGAGGTCTAACCAATATTATTTCGACCCGTCAATTTCACTATTTAAATTGCAAAACCTAGAAGCATTCTTTTTTAAATTGTAGTGCAATAAATGTTTTTTTTTTTAAATTGAAGTGAATAGAAAATTCAATATTAATGAAGATAAATAATAAAGGTTGTGACGAGGAATATAAAGAAAATTTGATCATCAAGCAGCATTAAAGTAAATTTTATTCAAATCTTCACTAACGTATTACTAAGTAGCAATAGACAAAGATATTGATCGACTTTTATTATGTAAACTTCATTCAGTATTAGTGAATTTTTATTTAGATTTATAAAATTTTGCAAGTGCATTTGATGTGTTGACTTCTGTTATAATTTACTAACATTTTTTTTTTTTACTAATTTTTTTTTATGTCCTGTTTTTTTGAAATTCCACCAACTTTCATCTTGCTGCCACTGGATCTGCTACATTGAAAACATCAAGCGCAACAGCAAGCTATGCTGCATTTTAAGTCGGAGCATTTTTACAATTTGATGTTTAAAACCAAATTGGTGGAATTATGGATGAAATATCGGTGTTATCTTCATTATAGATTAATGGTGATAGCTTTATCATAGGTGGAGAATTGTTGCTTTCCTCAAGTTAATGTCCCATAATTCACAGACTTTGTTGTTTCTGTGTACTATATTAGCATACTTTTTGGAAACAAGGAACGATTATTGCTTGTTTTGCATTAAAATTTAACTGATTAAATTTTGTGATTTGTTATTTAATCTAAATTTATTGTAGATGTCAATGCATCGATTTTAATTCAATTTTTCAATTTTAAATCATTTTCTATTTAATTTTATAAGGACACTCATTAATAAATAATCATTGCTATTTTCATTCACAACAATTAAATTCAACAAACATTGACAGAGCGTTGTGATTTCCTGTCAAACACTTTGCTTCGAGAATAAAATGAGCTAAGCAAATGGAAATATTTACAAATGGAAGTATTTTAGCCAAACTTTTTTTTGCAATGAATAGTTTTTGAATTAATGGAATGAACATACTTCCATTTCTCAAACCAGCACCAAATCACAAAAATGCCTATCAATTTTAAATTATCAAATTAATTCTTACATTCATTTTGTTCGAAATAATAAATAATCTCTTGGTATTATTAAATCAAAGAAATCAGACCAATAAGATGAGTTGATAATTTCAAATTGTTCAAACAGGTTGATAATTTAGAATGAGTTGATAATTTCAAATTATTAAATAGGTTGATAATTTAAAATGAGTTGATAATTTCAAATTATTAAATAGGTTGATAATTTAAAATGAGTTGATAATTTCGAATTATTAAATAGGTTGATAATTTAAAATGAGTTGATAATTTCGAATTATTAAATAGGTTGATAATTTAAAATGAGTTGATAATTTCGAATTATTAAATAGGTTGATAATTTAAAATGAGTTGATAATTTCGAATTATTAAATAGGTTGATAATTTAAAATGAGTTGATAATTTCGAATTATTAAATAGGTTGATAATTTAAAATGAGTTGATAATTTCAAATTATTCAAATAGCAGCACTCAATTCTTCATCTTCTGTATTCTGTATAACTCAATATAATTTGCAATAGAAAATGTATTGACAAAACTGAAACTGCATGAATAAGTGCAAGATGAGAGTGCATCATGCAGTCAGCAGTTAGCATGCATTGAAAGTGCACGAAAGTATATAAAATATTTTTCTTTTATCTCTCTGATTACCACTGATTCAGTAACTTGTTTATTACTGGCATCTTTTTCATGTTAAGATTGAAGAAAAGTTTGAGCAACATTTACTAATCGTTCTCACTTGTTATCATCATTTTCGTCACTTAGTGACAGTCTGTAATGTGACACATATGTATTATTTTATTTTTTGGGACGTCGCTTTGTTTAAAGGCGACAGCATATATCAACATTAAAAATATTAATTGTTTTCACGAATTTTTTAAATTTTATCATTTCTAAGTTATTGGACTGATTGTATCTGATGAAAATGTAATCTTAAGAAAAATAAGTTCAAAATTAATTTATTGATATTAATGAATTGTAGTTCATGTTGAATAATTCATAAATTATTGTAAATAAATATTCAATGATTCATTGTACAAGAAGGAAAAAAAAAAAAAAAAAACTTAGATGATATTCAGTCCTCCTGTTTATCTAATTTGCAATAGAAAATGTATTGACAAAACTGAAACTGCATGAATAAGTGCAAGATGAGAGTGCATCGTGCAGTCAGCAGTTAGCATGCATTGAAAGTGCATGAAATATTTTTCCTTTATCTCTCTGATCATCATTGATTAGTAACCTGTCTGTCATTCACATCATTCTCAAATAGAATATTGAAGAGAATTTTAAGGGTGAGTGGAGGTGTAGCGATGAGTACCTCTGGTTACTATCTGTCTGGCTTGTTTGTCTTGTGAGAATGAGTGATTGGTTTGTTTGTTTATTGTGTAAGTTGGGCCGTTTCCGATGGTAGTAACCGATGGTCAAGTGACAGTTATCTGTCATATTATTTTTTGGAGAAGTCGTTTGTTTAAAGGCGGCAACATAAATTAACATTGAAACAATAGACTGTCTTTACGATTTTTTTAATTACATCATTTCTAAGTTATTCTAAAGTATGGTTTGTATAATTTTTTTGCATTAATTTTAAAAATAAAAATCATGTCTGATGAAAATCTTAGGAAAAATGTCAAATAAGTTCAAAATTAATTTATGATATTAATAAATTTAGTTTTTAACACTAGAAAAAAAAATATTTCAATAAAAGCTGGTAGTTTAATTGATAAAAAGTAATATTAGCTAGAAGAAATTAGGCGTTCTGAAAACAGTGATAAATGATAATAATAATAGCAACATTATTATTACTAATAAATGAATTTCGAAAGTTTATTTTAACTTACTGTGCCATTGTTAACCTTGATCGCTTCTCAATACCTCACATCCTGACCAAATTGATACACATTTTGGCGGCTCTGCAGACCATCTACCATCGAAAGATAATGACTGAGATTCACCTTTTACTGTAAAATCCGGATCACATATAAAGATGGTTCTCGTACCGGAAACAAGCTTAGTTATTAGTGCTTCCTTGGTCGTATAAGGCTATAAACATTGAATTATTCATCTTTCTTTTGATTCCATAGCTGTTGAAATAATTTTTGCTGGGGTGAAACCATTTAATTAATTAATTTCATACTAACCATGTCATGTAATGAATGGTACCAGGAAAATTTCCGATTTGTGAGCACGGTTTACCAGAGTCCAACGGAACACATTTACTTAACTGATTCATGGTTACAAAAAAACCTAAAAATACATAACTGATTCAGTTTTCATGGTTACAAAATTATCTATCTTCTACACTGATTGATTGTTTCTGATAAAATTTTTATAATTTGATTTCAATCAGTAGAAGAAAAAAGTGATTAAAGTATAACTGTTTTCACAATTTAGTTTAATTTTCACCTATTTTTTTGTTCCATTTAGAATTTGACTCGCAAAAAGCAGTCACCGAGCCAACTGCGATATAATTTGTATTACATTTTAACAATGCCATTGTACCTTCTTCTATTACTGATTGTAATGACGAAGGTAAATATGATATTTCGCCGTTAGTTCGAATTCCAAATGGTGAACAGAACACTGTAAAATTGTTTTTGTCTCTCTTTTCTTGCTAACAATTGATTATGAGAAATATAAAAGAATAATAATGCACGCAATAATAATGGAATAGTAACAACAGTAAAAGTAATACTTTTATTATTACTATTATTTCAAAATATGATTAGTAAGGAATGAAATAAATTTTATCGAAAATGAAAGCGAGCACTTACTTGCTGTTATTTGCTGAATTTCAATTAATTAATACATAAAAGGATGCTAGTGTTTTTTTTTTTTTTTGTAATAATTTTAATTAATCAATCGTAATTTTAACATTCTATAACTTTCTATGGAAAAAAAAATTGTGGGAAATGATTATTAAATGCATAGTATGCAGATGAAATTTTCAATTTGTTCAAGTTTAAATATAAATTAGCATTAAAATTATCATAAATCATAAACATTTATCTCAAACATTATTTTAAACATTTTCATCATTCATAAACCATTATTTGTTTCAAATGATAAGTTTCGAATTTGAATTTCAATAAAATAATATATCTATGAATTAAGTAAGATAAAGAATTCGCATATTCAAAATAAATAGGTTTAAAATTTTGAATTATCGAGAATAAATATATTCCCAATTCTTGAGATAGCATAGCGTTAAACTGTAGAAAAATGCCTGCCAATTTTATATTATCAAATTAATTCTTACATTCATTTTGTTCGAAATAATAAATAATCTCTAAAGGATATTAGAAAGTGAGAAAGAAAAGTACACATGAAAGACAAATATTTTTTCGTTGTATTTTCTGGCTAATAATCCGTTTATTACTTACAACACCAACAAATGGAGTAGTATTTTCAGCAAGATCAGCAACACAAACAGGTACATGAAAGATTCAAACAGTGACTGTATGGATAATTAGTTCGTTTGATTTTGTTTTCGTTGGTGAATAAGAGCCAATATTCCACCCACTCATTTTTTTGCAAACTGTCATTGCAAAATGACAATATGGTAGTAGCAATATTTATTCAACTAATTGTCACAATTGTCACTGTTGTTATTTATGACTAATCTAAATTGAGCAAACGGTAAATTGAAAAACACGACTATACATATTACATATATTTTAGACATTTCTGTACAATGTTTACAATTTTTATTTTTGTTTTTCATTTGAAATGATGGATCAAAATGACTCTATGATGAATTTGAACCATTAAAATTGTTGCCTAATTGGTGAATAAATTAATTCAATATTTAGTGAAGCATAGCATAACAAGTTAAAATCGTTGAACGATTCAATTGTTATTTTTTAAATTAATGAGCAAATGTTGTTACTTTATATTCAAATTTATATTGTAAATTCCTAACTTTCTGGAATACTTTTTTAGGTAGTAATTTATCCCTGACAAGTAGAAAATTTATTTGACACAATAATAAATCTATTCAAATTTTAATAGTAATTCTACGCTTTCTTCTTTTTTGAGAAGAAAATATTAGCAGAATTAATTGCTAAAAAAAAAATACTATAAGTTACGTTACTGATTGATTTTTCATAAATTATTGCAAGTAAATATCTAATAATTCATTGCATAAGAAGGAAAAAGCTTAGATAGTATTCAGATCTTTCTTACTTCCTGCTTAACTCAGTAGCATTTGCAAGAAAGAACTCTTTGAGGTAATTGAAAGTGAAATTAAATGAGTGCAAGATGAAACTTGTGCAGTTAGCATTTAGCATGCATTGCATTCAAACTGCACACCCATAATATATTTTTCATTTATTTGCTTGATTATCACTAACTAATAATCAGTTTATCATTGTCATTGTTAGTCTACTAAGAGCGAAGAGAATTATTTAGATTAAAACGAAACACTATTACCTGTCTGTGCTCCATTTCATTTGTTGTGTAATATGTAACCTTTATCATTTTTATTGTTAATAGCTGGCAAAGGTGTCAACTACCCGTCCTGTTACTTTTTGCAATTGATCATCTGAGACTATGTACATTAATAATAACTAATCTTAATCCTAAATTTAAATTGCATTTTTTGATAAATTTTATTAATTGCAAAATTTGGAATAATCATTCATTCCATTCAACATTTTATTAAAAAATTATCCAAATTTACTTCTAAACCATCCTTTTCACCATCTTAGACTAATCACATCTCTCACGTAATCTTACGTAAGTTAATTTTATCAGTTATTTTAGCAGATAGAATAAATTATTCCGATAACAATACATGTGATATACCTTTTTTTTACCAATCAAAAAGAATACCTCTTTTCATTTTCTTTGCAACAATTATCGTCATAAAGAAAATGAAAAATAAATAAATACTTCAAAGAAAAAAAAAGAACCACAGACGCCTGCATTCTACCTGGAATGCCATTCTAAATGAACAAACGTCATATAAAATAACACGTTACGTAAAACCCGTTCACTCATTCCCATGAATGAATGGATGAGTCACTCAATTATCATTATATTATATTATTTGAGCTGTAAATGATAGACGGATTAACAAATCAAAATGAGCAAAAAGATAAAATGTGATTTCATTTCTAGTCATTTCTAGAATATTAGCTCCATCGATATTCCGACTGATACTTTTGATCATGTAGAATTAATTTTCATTATATACACAATTTTCCAGAAAGTTCCAAATTATTACTTTATATTTTCAAAATGATAATTGCAAATGATAAGACAAAAGGCAAATGATAATTTTATTTTAGTATGCAAGCAGTTTGATCATAATTTTTTTTATTTTAATCTTAATTTTTTTTTCAGTTTAATCATATTTTTTCAGTTTAATTATAATTTGCAAGCTGATATTATCAATTGCTAAAACTAAAAATTAGGTGCAACGGTCGTTACGGAACGCTGAAAATTTCCTAAATAAACACATCAACTCGAGAATGAATGCAAAGTGAATAAAAACAATGGAAATATTTTTAAAAAATATTGAAATATTATCAAACATTTCTGTTAAATTTGGCATGAAGAAGGAACCGCTTCTAAAATTATTAGAATTTGATTATATTTTTGCAAAAAAAAAAAAAAAAAAAAAAAAAAAGAAAACAAAAGCACACAACGATATCACTTACATTCCTAATATTTGATAAGAATGGTTTTATGAAAGCAATAATTGAGTTTTAAAAATCATAGAATCCGTATCTATCAGTTAACCGTTCCACTTTCCAAAATTATCAGCTGACTTCGTTAACTTTTTAAGCTTTCAGTAAAATTTTAGAGCTTTTTTTTTAAAAAAAAAAAAAACTTTATAGCACTATCAATCCATTATTTTATCTTTTGGAATATTCAAAACTGAATAATAAAGTGAATAAATTTCTTTTGTAGAAGAAATTTGCATTTCTGTTAAAAAAAAGTTGAATGAATAATGAAAGTAATTATCAGTAACTTTCTAGTTGTTAATTTATGTTAGAAATTATACAGTAATTTAAGTCTGAAGATTAGCCTAACTGTTCATTTTTACCAAATAATTTCGTCAACGTATCTTCGATAAATACTTTCAAAAGATAAAGTTAAAGTTTATCTGAAATTCACCCCATTTCATCATTTTAATGTTACTTTCACATTTGCATCACATTCAAAAAAAAAATTAATTTTATTTATTATTGATGACCATTTTTACGATTTTAATGAAAAATTTTCTATTAGCATCCAACTTTTTCCATATTTATATCATTCAAGTCAAATTGAAATTCTTTAAATCATTAGAAAATAGTGAAATAGAATTAAATTAGGTTGATAAATCAATTATAAATATTCTTATCTTTCAGTTTTTTATGGTAAATTTTATGGTTGAAAGATTTTCGAATTAATTTCTAAGGATTATGTAAAATGTTTGTTTGCTGTTTGTAGTAGCAAATAAAGACATGAATTAATTTATTGTTCATTTCTTTTAGTCAAGCCCAAAGTAGTATCATGATATGATTGAATCCGGAATACTGATTCGAGAAGTATAGGAAAAGAATGATATAATCCGGATAATCTTTTAAAATTACTTTTGTTTTTTTTTTTTTTTTTTTTTCATTTTAATAAACATTCCTTTTCTTTCCTTTCTCCACCTGAACATATTATTCATTGAACTTGTTTGAGCATTTTTCTGGATTTTCGAGTTCGATGATGTCGTCGAATATAAGTAGCACCCTCTTCATTATAATTTCGATAGGATGGTTCCATTTCATGAATAGCTGCGGTTTTAGCGGAACGTGGTGGACAAGGACAGTAAGCTGCATCACTGCCTGGTACACCAGGTGCTCCAGGCTAAAACATAATGACAATATAGTGGTTTTTTTTTTAAAAAAAATTGTAATGTTAGTGGAAATTTGGTTTTTCTGTATAAGAAATGTAAGATTTAAGAAAAATATACCTCTCCGGGTTGTCCAGGTGTTCCAGCAATACCTGGTTGTCCATGTGGTCCCGGAGGTCCTGGTGGACCTACTGGACCAGGTCCAGCATTTTCACCAGGCGCACCAGCATTTCCGGCTGGACCAATTGGACCTGGTGCTCCTTTTGGTCCTGGAGTACCACGTCCTTGAATTCCTGGTAATCCCGGTGCTCCAGGTAATCCTTCTTTTCCCGGTAGACCTGTCATATAAAGAAAAGTCATACAGTTAAACAATTCGAATTATTTTTTTACAATTTGCTAATCTGAAAAGTGACATTCAGATAATGACAAATTTACCTGCTCTCCCGACATCTCCAGGTTGTCCCGGTGGTCCTGGTTGTCCTATACCGCCACCATTGCTCGGTCTACCTGGTATTCCAGCTGGACCTGGTGGTCCTGCTTGCCCTGCTGGACCTGGAGGTCCGGGTGGTCCAGGTGGGCAAGCAATGCAACCTCCGCGTGTTTTCTCACCGGTTGATATAGCAATACCATTTGGTCCTGGTTTACCATCCTTACCATTTTCACCTGGTTCTGCAATTCTAACAGTTTTTTGCGATGAGTGCATTGAATACAAAAATAATTAGAAATACTTTTCATGTCAAAAAAATAAAAAAAAAAAAAAGAAATGAAAACAATAGAGTGTCAACTATTGAAAAATACCTCCTGGTAAACCAACATCTCCTGGTGGTCCAGGTGGTCCTGGTGGACAATTTACAGCTTGAAGAGCACATGCTGAAAATCCATTTTATAATTACTTTTAGTCTAATCAATAATTTTTTAAAATTTACTATCATCGTTTCAAATTAAAAATAAAACATTTTTTATTCATTCCTTATTTATTTCATCCAATTTTTTTTCTCAAATTACTTTTTTTTTTTTTTTTCAAATAAGAAATTTCAACTTACCACAGATAGCACGACGTTTTTGACGTGGTTTTGAACCAAACAAAAATGCGATTGATTCTTTTTTGGATATAGGTGAATTATGATTCACGTGAACACTCATTATTTCATCCCATGCATCATTTGCTAATACCTAAAATTATAGTACTTGAATTACATTTCAGGAATGTTATAATATTGTAATTCATAACTTAAAATTTATATTTAAAATTTAATTTAATATTCTTTTTCAATTAAAACAATAGCGAATATGATTTGCGTTATTCTATTTCTTTTTCTCCTTTTTTTTTTTTTTTTCAAAATTAACTAAAATATCATTTAAGATTTATAAATTTTCATCTAATACAATCATTTTTAAACAAACCTTAAATTCATCCATATCATCTAATACTTCATAATAAAAACTATTAATATCTTGCAATAAGATACCAGCAATAATTAATGATACAATAATAACTAAACCACTTGCAATGGATGCTATATTAACAAACACTTGTGTTCCCATTTCTGAAAAAAAAAAAACAAAAACAAAAACAAAATCAAAAACTTTCTTATTAATTTGAAATAAAATGTTTCATCGAATTTTTTTTTTTTTCATTTACTGAACTAAAAAAAAAAAAAGAATTATAAAAAAATAACAGATGAAATTAAATGTGACAATCATTTGATGGATAATCATTTCAAAACAGAAAAATGTTAGTGGTAGTTTTATGAATTTCTTGATTAATAAATTTTTTTTCTTTGATATAATTTCAAAAAAATTTTAAACATTTTTCCAGCAAAATTTTTAAAGAAATCAAAAGTCATTTCAAATTTTTTATTAGTATGCTTATATGAAAGAAAATTAAAAAAAAAAAAAAAATAGAGATTTGTTTACTTTTACAACAATTCTTTTCCTATTGCTTTTCTTATTTACCCATAATGCTTTCCTCAATGAATTAATGTAATTAAATTATTTATTTTGTATGAATTTAAAAAAAGAAAAAAAAAGAAAAAACTGATTTATAATTATGAAAAAAAATTTTTTTCTTTTTTTTTTAGTTAAATAAAAACAACAAAAAAGGAATCGAAAATGTTGAAAAAAAAAAAAAAAAAAACAAAACCGAATATTTATTCATATCAATTTTTACTTAATCTTCAAATCAGAATGAAAAGTAAGGACAAAAAAATGGAAAAGGTAAGGGAGTAGATGAAAGGAAAGCGATGAATATGTGGTACCTCTATCTTAGTTATATAGGTATTTTCGGTACCTTTGTGAATCCCACCCATTTTTTAAACTTGTTTTTTAATGGTAGAAGAAAAAAAAAAATGAGTTCGAAAAAAAAAAAAAAAAAGAGAGAAGACACTAAGATTTTTCGTCCTTTCATCTTTTATTTATTTATTTTTTTCGTTTTTTGAACACTTTTCGGCTAATTTCAAATTCTAATAGCTTGTTGTAATTACAATAAGCACTTTCTATTTATGATTTTTTTTCGTTTTTTTTTTTTTTTTTTAGTGATGAAAGTAAAAATTTTGACAATAACATGGATATGACATATGACATTATTCTTTTGCTTTCAATGTACAATTAGAAAATTCTTCCATTTCTCATTTTTGCTGATCAATTTCATTCCGAAATTATTTTAATACCTTTTTTTTTTTTTTTATTTTTTTTCTCAAAAATTTTTTTTGATCAAATTATTTGTAATAAAAAAAAAAGAAAAAAGAAAAAGTTTTTCTTTTCAACATAATATTTTTATGTATGATAGAAATAAATTAAAATGAAAATTTATTAATTAACATTTTATCGGAATAAAATATTAGTGTTTATTTTTTTTTATATTTATTCAATTCTTGTTCTATTATTTTATAATTTAATGAAATAATTAACTTAGAAATTGTTATCAAACTATGCAAATTGGTAGATTTTTAGTTTTGAATTTTATTATTGAGTTAATAATTCAATAATTTATATTTTCAGAAATATATGGATTATTTGTCGTTTTAGTTTATCACACAAATTTTAATTGAAAATATAAAGCATTTATTTATGATATGATATAAACATATGTGATATGATAAAAATTTATCAATTTATATGATGCAAATTCTTTATTTATATTCTGTAATTTTGTAATATATGTTTATACTTTTCATATTCTGTCGCTATGATAAAATTACAACATTTCTTACTGATAACAATTCATCGCCTGCTATAAAACTTTATTTACCATTATTACTCTAATCATTGATTATCATATTATTTTCTATATTTGAATTTCAAATTTTCAAACAGAAAATGGATGAATACTTGGAACATTCAAATGATTAATTTTATTGTTTTTTTCTACTTTTAAATTCAATTTTTTGAAAATTTTGTTAATTAAAAAAACTTCTAAATAAGCAATATCTTAACTCTTAAATTAATAGAAAAACTTCAAAATTCTTAAGAACAATCAGAACTTTCATTTTTTATTGTTTACATTTTTGCCAATTATAATATTTTTCTTCTTTTTTCAATAAGATAGTAAATTAATTTCATTCTTATTTTTGACCTATTTCTCTTTCTATATGTTAAATTAATCGAGGTATGATGTCATGAATTATTTGAAAAATATAAATTTTATTTATTTCTCATTTTTGCAATACTTAAAAAAAAATTTTTTTTTCTATTTTACACTTCAATATTCAATTGACATTTTTTTACCCATAAATTTTCTCAATTATAACACGAAAGAATAAATTATAGGTTAATAATACACAAATAACAGACAGTTCCCAAAAATTAGAGAGTTAAGCTTCTTTTTTAACAAATAATTTTACCCTTCAATTCCTTTTTATCAATCTTTTTATCACTCTTATATTTAATCCATAAGGCTAATTTTTGTTTCCAGGCTTGCTAATACATGATAATATGTTTGTAAACATCTTAAATTTTAATTTACTCAAAATTTAAAACTTTCAAAATTAATTTTCAGTAATGGAAAGAGTTATTAACAAAGTTCCGTGTTTTTTTTTTTTTTATTCGCTTTTCGAAACACTTTTACAAACAAATTATTAATTAATAGTCACAGAAATGAAAAAAAAAAAAAACTAAAGGCAAAATTGTATGATAGTTTAGAATAAAAAATAATAATTTTTTTTGCTAACAGAAAAATTCTCTTACATAATTTAAAATTGTTAAAAAGTAATTTATGTTAATTTTAAATCTAATCGAAGTCAATGATTGGTTAAAGAAAATAACAAAATTGCTTAGCAAACATTTCCTTTTTTCTTTCCTCCATGCAAAATAAAAATTGCCTACGGCAAGAATTTTAATTTTTGAAAAGTTACCTAACACAGGTAGATGATAGAAATGTTGAACAGTGTTATTAATGTTATAAAAATTCATTTATAAATAATCAAATTCTTTTTTTTTTTTTTTTTTAAATTTAAATTAATCAATGTAAATAAAACATATTTCGTTTCTTTTAAAGCAATAATTTAAACAAATGAACAAATTAATTTACCAATTTTTTTTTTACAAAAAAAAGTGATAAATAAATTCATAGAAAATGATGAAAATAACTTTGAGCAGCAACAATTAATAATGTTCATCAATTCGTTACACTTTTTAATTAATTTACTTACTGTTTATAGTCTTTCTTTTTTGTTTTTCTTATAACAAACAGGTTGTTTTAGTTGAAATGAGCAAAATGAGGTAATAAAATGAAGTTGCAAGAAATTTAGCTGTGTAATTTTTTTTTTTTTTTTAATAATGATTTTATGGGAGATTTTATAGAGAAGAAATTTCTATTTGCTGTGACGTAAATAATTTTTAATATTAAAATTGAATTTAAAAGTATGATGTTTTGATCTTTAATAAGATTATTCATACATCAATATTGCTAATAGATTCTAATTGTAATTAAAAAATAAAATATATTTAAAATTTATTGAGTATTTTTATTTTTTTTTTTTTTTTGTAATATTTATTTAAGTTATATAATTAATTTATAAAGTCTCTAATAAAATTTATGCTTAATTAAGCTTTATTTTTAAAATAATTTTGTAAAATAACATACATTATTATAAATGATGGTTGATTTATTAATTTTTTTTTTTTTTTTTTTGCATTTTGTTTTTTAGTTAAAGATAAAAGTAATTTTATTCATTAAATTTACTGTTAAATATGTGAGATTGTAATTTAGCAATTTATATATTTTCAGCTGATATTTCCAAACTGAAAAATGAAATAGTTTTTTATTATTTTTATTATAAATTAACAAAATATTAAATATATTTATCTGACAAATCAGTAAATTGAAATTTTTATTTTGTACCAAAACCACTATTTAGTTTTTTGAATAATTAAACAATTAATGGATTAGGAAAGGGTTATCAGTATTATCGAAATGAATTGAGGCATTTTCCGGAAATCGTTAATTGCAACAAGGATGAAATAAAAATGTTATTGCATTTGTTTTCTTCATTGAATTATTCATTTCCGGAAAAAAAGAAAAACGAATATTAGAATCCGTTTTATCCGATTAATTCGTTAACTGATTGGAATATTACGCATTAACTGATCAATTTTTATCAATTATTAATATCATCGAATGATTGCTTTCTTGAAATTTTCGCTCCATAAACTTTTTCACGATGAAATTTCAACAAAATTAAATTGGTTTATTTTCAAGGACAAATAAGATTGGCCGATAAAAAAAAATTTTTTTCAATTGCAATTAAAAATTTTCATTTTACATTTTACTAAATTTATTGAGGTTTTTTTTTTGAATTTATTTAAAAAAAAGGAAACACGATTAAATTATTTTGAGACGATTTTTTTTTTTTTTTTTGTAAATGATATTTAATAATAACACAGTGAACTAATTATTTTCACATAATTTCATTTGCAAAACAACGACTTGCAATGAACAGCAAACAAGCTGAAAATAGGTTTCAAATTTAACTATTAATTTAAAATTCAAATTCAAATTTGACTATTAATTGAAATTAAAAACTTCCGGTGAAAAAATTCAGAAAACGAATAACCTCCTAGTTATAATTCAATGTGAGTTAATTTCCAACCTTTCATAAATACCAATCCTTTCTTTTTTTCTTAATTAAAAAAGCATTTTATTATATAGAAATTAACAGACTTTCAATTTTAGATGACATATATCAAAACTTTTGAACAAAAAGTTCGAATCATATTTTCCTCAATTTTACAAATTTATTTCACAAATATATAATATTGTGTGCTCAGAGCAGTATTCCTGCGACTAAATTGAAAAATATTGTTAAATTGAAATTGGTTATTTGCTTATCACACAATATCATTTACTTATCACACAATATCATTTACTTATCACACAATATCATTTACTTACCACACAATATCATTTACTTATCACACAATATCATTTGCTTATCACACAATATCATTTACTTATCACACAATATCATTTACTTATTACACAATATCATTTACTTACCACACAATATCATTTACTTATCACACAATATCATTTACTTATCACACAATATCATTTACTTATCACACAATATCATTTACTTACCACACAATATCATTTACTTACCACACAATATCATTTACTTATCACACAATATCATTTACTTATCACACAATATCATTTACTTACCACACAATATCATTTACTTATCACACAATATCATTTACTTATCACACAATATCATTTACTTACCACACAATATCATTTACTTATCACACAATATCATTTACTTATCACACAATATCATTTACTTACCACACAATATCATTTACTTATCACACAATATCATTTACTTATCACACAATATCATTTACTTATCACACAATATCATTTACTTACACAATATCATTTACTTACACACAATATCATTTACTTATCACACAATATCATTTACTTATCACACAATATCATTTACTTACCACACAATATCATTTACTTACCACACAATATCATTTACTTATCACACAATATCATTTACTTACCACACAATATCATTTACTTACCACACAATATCATTTACTTACCACACAATATCATTTACTTATCACACAATATCATTTACTTACCACACAATATCATTTACTTATCACACAATATCATTTACTTATCACACAATATCATTTACTTACCACACAATATCATTTACTTATCACACAATATCATTTACTTATCACACAATATCATTTACTTACCACACAATATCATTTACTTATCACACAATATCATTTACTTATCACACAATATCATTTACTTATCACACAATATCATTTACTTACCACACAATATCATTTACTTATCACACAATATCATTTACTTACCACACAATATCATTTACTTACCACACAATATCATTTACTTACCACACAATATCATTTACTTATCACACAATATCATTTACTTACCACACAATATCATTTACTTATCACACAATATCATTTACTTATCACACAATATCATTTACTTACCACACAATATCATTTACTTATCACACAATATCATTTACTTATCACACAATATCATTTACTTATCACACAATATCATTTACTTATCACACAATATCACTTACTTATCACACAATATCATTTACTTATCACACAATATCATTTACTTATCACACAATATCATTTACTTACCACACAATATCATTTACTTATCACACAATATCATTTGCTTATCACATATCGCATAATATCAGATGAAAATTATTATAAACTCTTTATATATTATAAAAACAAATAAGTCTCTCCAATTTTTTTTATTTTTCTTTCTTCTTTCTTTTTGAAACTAATTTTTTAAGAAAAGATATGTTATTCTAAACTGAGACAAAACCGTAATTCCAACGTTATTATTTATTTTATCATGTTGAAAGTTTTACAAAATCAAACCGAAAAAAAATGATGCTAACATGACATTTTTTTTTTATATATTTAAAATCCTAACTTCAAAATCAAACTTCAAAAAACTTAAAAAAAAAAAAAAACATTTCAAAGAATATAGAACTGTTAAATAGTAAATTGCAAACATTCAAATAATTATAATTTGGGATCATTCGAAGGGTAAAAGATTATCAAACACTTTTCAACATTTAATCAGAATTTTAAAATATCTATGCAGTTCTAATTTTAATTTTATATGTAAATAAACACATCAGATAAAGTAATTATTTATGGACAACAAAAATACTGAAAAAAAAAATTAAACTATATTTTGAACGTTAGAGTATTTATTGAATTTACTTTAAAAAATTTATTAAATTTGAATTGCATAGACATTTGGAATGTCTTAACTACTTCCTATTTCATTTCAATCTATTCTCGAATGACCTTGTAAGAAAGTAAATTGCTGAGAAACAGGTATTTTTACCTTGATTCTTTTCTCTTGCTTATCAATAAATCAAATTTTACATCAACTATTCGGGCGATTGAAACAAAGATAAATTGAAACTGAAATTTAGACGAAGGAAAATTTTTGAAAGCAATACTTAATGTATTACCATAAAAATACTTTTTATTTACAAATACTGATTACTTTGTCTCAAAGGGTTATTTGTCATTTTATCTAATGTAATTTGATAATGTGACACAATGACAAATTTGATAATATGACAATAAAACAACTGTTAATATGAAAATATAATAAAGCAAACTATAATAGTGTGGAAAAGTTGAAAGTAAAAGAAAATTTAAATATTTATTATTACTGCGTGAAAAAAAAAAATAAATTATAAATCGTAAATTAATAAAAAGTGAGAAAATAATGCGATATTTATGATTAAATTGATTTTAAAAATGAGTGATAAGATAATTTCAAAGATAATTTAATAAATAGTAAAATTATGAATTTTAGTTTAAAAAACAAAATGATAATATTACAAAAAAAAAAGGAATATTTAGAGAAGAGTGTATATTTTGAAATATTTGCAACACTAAGTAAGAATTGCAACAGTAAATAAAATAGGGTAATACTAAACGATAAATATTCATTTATTCAATTATCTAATAATTTCAATAAATTATTTTAATCACAATTTTCATTAATCTTTTCAATTACTTTTTTAAAAATTATACAATTTTTTCTTTTTGAAAATAGATGATTTTACTAGAAAATATATGAGCAAAATAAGATTAATAATGAAAATAATTACTATTTAAAAACTTAAAATTACAATTTCCATAAATTTCATAACTAACATTTAAAATTTTTGTGTATTAAAAGCAAAATTTAAAATTGAAGAACAATTGATGAACATCGATCATTTATATAATTCATTCCGGTACGATTTCCTGTAAATTTTTTTTTTTTTTCATTTTTCATTTTTTTTTTTATGATGGTAATGACGAGAAAAAAAAAGGAAAGTAAGTATAAAAAAGTATGTGTTGCACAATAATTTTGAAATGAAATTGGACGCGGTAGTGTAACCGTTACTCGTCAACAATATTAGTAATACTGCCACTATATAAGCAAATAACTTGTTTGTCGTTTCAATTTGATTGTCATTTATTGAAATTATATACTTTGCTTAAAAAAAAAAAAAAAGTATTTTTTTTTTTTTTAAAGTAATTATTTATTAGTTAAAATTAATGTTATTTGTTTGCAATATTTAATTAAAAACAACAGTTAAAACAAGTTTTTTATAATATTTAATTAAAGTAACAATGATTAGCTTAAGCAAATTTGTTATAATCTTTGAAGATATTTGCTTGCATTTTTTATATCTGATAGTATTGATAAGAACGATAACAATTACTGGTGATAAAATTGCAATCGTACTAGTTGAATCGTAAAAACCAATTAAGAATTAATTAAATTGTAATGAAATAAAAATAATAATAATGGTAACAACAATAATTGGTAGTAATGATCATCATAATGATAATAATTAATGGTGATAATAATAATAGTAACAATAATAATAATAATAATAATAATAATAATAATAATAATAATAATAATAATAATAACAATAACAATAACAAAATAATAACAATAATAAAAGCAATCATAATAATAACAATAATAATAAGACAACAATGACAGTAGTATTGCTATTATCGCTACTAATAATAATAGTATTATTATTATTAATAAAAATAATATAAAATGATTGTAATAGTATTAGATAGCATTTTCACTTAGTACTGCAATAAAATGTATAGGAGTAAATTTAATTAAATTGAATTTGCTAAAGTTTTAACTTCAGTACTTCAATTCAATTTTGTTTTGAAGATTTTGTATTCAAGAGCGATATATTAAACGAAAGTTTGTGTATACAAAAAATATTACTGAAAGATATTTTAGCTTAATTCATTTTGAATTTTCCCCTTTTTCATCTTTTTTTTTCAATCGAATATAAAATGATTTTTACGTCATTTTGCTAATGATAAAATTCAGAGTATTAGAAGAATATTTAGGAAAAGAATAAAATAATATCAATCTTTTGCTAATTCATATCTTAATAATTATAATAATAAAAATTTATTCTATTTTATCTTTTTTTATTTTTAATTTATTTTATTTTTGAATAGGAATGGAAAAAAAATTACGTCCACATTCGATGAAAACAAATGCTTTTATAGCTATTGTATTAGCTACTGGTGCTATAACATCATGCATGATTTCATTTCCAATTATTTTTACCTATATTCAATCATTAGAAAGTCATGTGCAAACGGAATTAGATTTATGCAAGGTAAATTTGCTAACAATTACTATTCAATGATTTATCATTATTAACAGCAATTCATTATTTTTATAAAATCATATTAAATCTTTTTTAAAATAATCAAGTCATTTGTTGCAAAAAAAAAAAAAATAATTTATTAATTGAAAGTTTTAAAAAAGTTTTCAGCTATAATTAAAAAAAAAAAAACACTTAAATATGATTTAATAAGGTATAATTTTAGACGCGTGCTAGAAATATGTGGAAAGAAATGCTTGAAATGAAAACTAATGATAAGCAGTTGACAGCGTTACGTGTTAGTCGTGCCGCAAAGATACTGCACGGTGTTGTGACGGAAGTGAAAGATCGTAGACGACGTCAAAATCAGGGCCTGTGTTGTACATGTCAACGTGGACCACCTGGACCACCTGGTGAACCAGGACCTGATGGTAAAATTGAAAATTTCATTTATAAGCGTAAAGAAACAAAAAGAAATTGAAGTGGTTTAAGAAAAAGAAGAAAAGAAACAATAAATTTCAGACAATAAATTTTTTTGACATATGCCAAATTATTTTAATGTTAATGTAATTTTCATTTTCAATCTACATTAAAAGAAATGAACGAAAAGAATGAAGGAATAAATAAATTATAATTTAAATTGTAAAAATTCCATATTCAAGTCAATAAATTTTATTAATTTAGCAAATTTATTTTCCTTCAAAAAGAATGATTTAATAGCTAATCAATTATTAATTAACATATGAGTGGCTATATTAATTCGAAATTTTTTTTTTTTTTGAGCAAATTAATTTTCTTGCAAATGATGAAACCATAATCTGCAAGAAAATTTGTTTAGGATAAATTTATTAATTTTTAAATGTTATATAGGTGTGGATGGTATCGATGGTGTTATTGGTGATATTGGATTGCCAGGAACACAAGCAATAGAACCACCAGAATGGTCTCAACGTTTCCCAGAACAATGTCCATGTGATGCTCCAGCAGGTCCTTCAGGTGGTCCAGGACCACGTGGGCCACAAGGACCTCCAGGAGATGCAGGAATGCCAGGAACTGATGGAGCACCAGGTGAACCTGGAATACAAGGACCACCAGGACCACCAGGACGAAATGGTAATCCGGGAATGAAAGGCTCTCCAGGTATACCAGGCAGACAGATACCAGGTGGTGAAGGACCACCTGGACCACCAGGTCCGCCAGGAAGGCCAGGAAATGTTGGACCACGTGGACCACCAGGCCAACGTATGTTTTTTTTTGATTATATCACATCTTAATTAATAACCTTTGCTAGTATTACTTTTAATTAATAACTATGGAATATAGGCAAGCAATTAGAAAGGAAGGTTAATTAATTCTAGTGAAATGTATGCATTTTAGCTGGTGTAAATGGAGAACCAGGATCAGCAGGTGAAGATGGTCCACGAGGACAACCAGGACCACCAGGACCAGCAGGACAGCAAGGGCCACCAGGTCATCCAGGTGAGGAAGGAGCGAAAGGACGATGTGATCATTGTCCACCTGCACGATTAGCACCGGGTTATTAAGCAAATTGAAAACCGATTATTCATTTGTTTTCATCACAATTCAACTTATTGCGATCAACGATACTACACTTTCAATAAACAATCAGACACGGCATATTTGCATATTAACAATTGGTTATTGTTTCGAAAAAAAATGAAATTTAAATTCAAAAAAAGGCTCAAAGGTCAAACTTATTGTTTACAAAAGATTATGAGAAATATGCATTCGTTTTATTAAGTTTAAGCTGAAAGATCAAAAAAAATTGCACTAGTTTTTATAAATAAATTTCAGTTCTTTTCCTTACCTTTTTTAAAATGAATTTTATGTTTCTTTAAATATATGCAATTTTTTCTTTATCATCAAATATCTAAAATAAAATACAATTTAATAAATATTCCATAAATGATCAATGTTGTCAAAAAAAAAAAAAAAGATGAAATGAAATAATAATGAAAATAATAGAAATTATCAAAAACACAACAACAAAAAAATAAATAAATAAATAAATAAAAGAAAGAAAAAGAAAAAACAGCAATTTCGGATTCTAATTAACAATTATCTGATAGAAAAACTTTAATAAAAAAACATTTTACAATACATTTAATAGTATAGTTGAATTTATTTATTTTTTTATTTATTTAACAAAATCTATTCGTTAATATATGCATTTTCAAAATAAATAACTTTAAGCCAACAAATATCGTTGTTTCATTGAATTTAGAGTAAAAAAAAAAAAAAAAAAACAAATGTCGTTTTAAATGCATTTTAAAATTTAAAAAGCGAAAAAATATGTTTGACTTTATCATTTGTTTGGTATTAAATTTCAAATAACAAACAATATACTATGTTTTTGTTGATAAAACATCAATAAATAAGAATGATAAAAGAAAGCAAAGATAGAAATTAAATAGAAATTTAAAAAAAAAAAAAAAAAAACAAAAACAAATAAATAAATAAAAATCAAATGTTTCATTGGTTATAATTACACCAAATCTTTCATAAAATATTAAAATTTTACTACTTAACACATAGTTCAATTATTATTACCATCATAAATATTTCAAAAATACTTTCTTTCTCTTTTTTTTTTTTTCTTTCTAATTTTAAAACTTAAAAATTTTGTCTCTCATTTCAATCGAAGAAAAAATCGAAAAAAAGAAACAAAAAAAAAAAAAAAAATGAATGAATGAATAAATGTTACTAAGCAAAAGAGTAACGTTGGTTTAAATTTGAAATTAGGTCGAAAAGGAATTTTTTTTTTTTCTTTTCTTTGTTTGCAAAAATTTTCACAGAAACACAGAAAAAAGAAAAAGAAAATTGATTGAAGTGTAATGCTCACAGCTGGATTTTCCGATTTATTGCTTCAACTAAAATTTTACTAACATTTCTTTACCCTTTAATCTTTCTTCTTTTTTCTTCATTTAACTTTTTCAATATTTTTTTAATCATTCAATTGATCTTTCCTTTGTTTTTGTTTTTAGTTCTGATTAAATCATTCAAAGTTATCAAATGTTATTTCATTGATAATAAATGATATTACTGAAACATTGTTTATATATGAGTTGAAATTACTCTAATTAATTTGCAAATTTAAATTGCTTTTTTCTAATCTTTTTTTTTTTAAAAAAATATTATACATCATTTCCTCGATATTAAATCATTAATATTATTTATTACTAATAAACAAAACGACTTATCATTTTTGTTTATCATAATTTATCTGAAGTAAAAAATCAGTACAATATGAATGATGTTAAAATTTAAAGGAAAAAAAATGACTTATCAATTACATCAGCTAACAATCAGTTTTCTATTTCTTTTTTTTTCATTTTCTTTTTATCAAAATTTAAGTCTGATGCATAGAATATAAAGTAAATATCTATTTACACCTTAAAAATAATAATAATAAAAAATGTTTAATTCATTTCCATTGCAATACTCTTATCAAATAGCATATGACATAATTTATTACACCTTTCCCTCTCTCTCTTTCTCTCTCTTTTTTTTTTTTTTGAACGAAATAAAGATAAGATTAGCATAAAATTTCACATGAAATTCACATATCAATGTTAATTGTAATGCTATTGTTGATGATATTATTGGAACAATTAATCATTTGTGGGATAGAATTCCTCTGATTTATCTTTAAATTTAAATTGTTTCATCAAATTTTTTTTTCTTTTTAAATCATTTCCTAGACATTAAATTATTAATATCATTTATATATCAAATACTAAACTATAAAACTTTTTTCAATTTCATTTATTTCTAAAAATAAGAGGAAAATAAACAAAAACAATGACAAAAAAAAGAAATTTTCCTAGTTATCAATGAAATTAATCGTTTTTGGATTGAAATTGTCGTACTACTAATAATTTAGTACTATCTAAATGTTTAAACTAATATTGAATTCATATTTTTAGAATTACATATCAGTTTACTGTTACTAGTGTCATTGTTGTTTCATTTAAGTTAATTTTCCTTTTTTCTTATTTATTTATTTATTTATTTTTTGAGCTATTAAATGAATAGTTGAGCATTTTAAAAATGATTAATAATGCAAATATATTATAGTATGAATGTATACATTTTCTTTTTTTAAAAATGCACTTCCATATCTTAAAAGCTTATATATTTTTGTTGTGGAATATTTTTTGAAATTATTTACACAACTTTTTTCATGCTCTCATCACTTGTCATCTGCAAATGATAAATAGTAATAAAGAAAATATTGATAGCAGCGATGATATTTGTAATATTAGTAAATTTATATAATTTAAAAAATTTATTTAGAAAAGAGAAAAGGAGAGGAAGTATCAGTAATAAAAGTAATAAATAGTGTAGTAGTAAAAGCAAAAGTAAAAGAATGAAGTACTAAATCATCAAGAAACAATAAAATTTCAATTTTTTAACTTAAATTCAAACTTCTTTTCCTTCCCTCTCTCTCTCTCTCTCTTTCTCTCTCGTTCTCATCCTCTCTTTTTTCCTCTTCTTTTCTCTTTATAAATAAATTATATAAATTTTCATTAAATTATTGTTACACTTAAGGAAGAAAAAATAAAAAGCTTTTTATTTCTTATAATAATTTTTTTTTTCCACTGAAACCTATCAGAATTTCAAATAATTTAAAAAAAAAAATTTGAAATTTTTTTTTATTTTTAAGAATTTTATTTACTATTTAAAATTTTTATCATTCTCACTACTATTCATTATTGTGTAACATTTTGTCAATCATTTCTTTTTCTTTTTTATCACATAACAACATAGCAATGCAAATACAATAAGCATATCGAATAGATAATGGTTATTGTTGTAGCATTTTACCGATACATTTACAATAGATATTATATAACAATCATATTGAAATATTAATTAACAATCATTCATTTTTATCACAATTATAATTTGATTAAAAAAAATCACAGTGAAAATTTTTATTTTTTTTTTTTTAATAACTGCTAAAATTTTAATTATTTTCTATGAGTGAATAAATAAGCTAATTAATTAGCTAAGAAAAAAAAAAACGATTCATTTGTTGTTTTACAATGAAATAATCATTTTGATTGTTTATTTTATATGAACTAACTAATTTAGTCATTTATTTAAATTCCTTTAAAATTAAATTAAAATAATTTTATCATTTTTTTCCCTTTTCCTCACCCAAAAAAAAAGTTCTTACAGAGATGAAATTGTATTTATTTTTAATCTCATATTCTAGTTTGCTTCTTTTCCATCACTCTTCTCCCATCAATTCTCTTCGAATTTCGTTGAAAAAAAAAAAGAGAAAACTTTAGAAGAGTGACAATGTAGCTTTGGTGACATTTTCTGTTTCATTTCCATTCTTCTATCTTTGTAATATCCTTAATTTATATTCAAATATGGAATGATTATGCTCTAATTACTTATTTGATAATGGAATTTTTTGAAAAAAATTTTTTTAATAAATATTTACATGTTTCATTTTTATGGTATATTTTTATTTTAGAGTTAGTTATAAATTCAATTTATTATTCCATTCTTAATCATTCATTTCTTAAAACAAACAAACAATAGAACTCGCATTTAATTGAATATGATAATTTGTGTTATGCTATGATTTTTAAATATAAATCAAATATGATAAATGGTAATAAAAGTTTGTAAATAAAGTATATAAAATTTAATTTCATGTGTATACGTATGTATGTAATCGAATCTTTTTCAAATATGAATTTACAATCAATTATTTCAATCAGTATAATCAATTTTTTTTTTTTTTTTTTTCAGAGTGGAAGCAAATGGTATTATCAATTGAGGATCATGAAATATTATATAGATCATCATTATCAAATATCACTGATAACAATAACCCTTCGCTTTGTCAAGTAAGTACTGAATTATCTAATCAATAATAATAGTTAATCATAAAATATAAAATTAATGTAGTTCAATGATATCAAACATCTGTAATTGTTATCCATTCATAATAAATAAGTAAGTAAATAAGTAAATTAAATGAATAAAAAAATAAATAATAGAATGAAAAGAAAAAAAAAAAAAGAGAAATTGATAATGGGAAAAAGAAAGTATGTATATTTTTTAATTTCTCTTTTGAAATATCAACATGATTCTAGGAAAAAATTATGTTGAAATGTACAAAGAATAAATTTAACTTAAACCAGCAAATCGGATAATCTATCTTCATCTATCATCTGATATTATTTTTTTGTTATTATCTAGAGATAGAAAACATACCTGATTTACCTACGATGACAAATGCTATTCTGATTTATAACCTTGACCTAAATATCAAATTATTTTACGATAATTGTATGCCAATATATTAACATAAAATCTCTTTTATAGCAATTTGATATATTACTATTTTCAACCTTTTCTATCACACTCAAAAATTAATTACCAATTCTTTTTTAAAAAATAAATAAATAATTAGTGATAAATTGTTATGAACTGCTATGAATTCTTATTCACTAAAAATAAAGTAAATTTTATTTTTAGTTTTATTAAACATTTACTCTAATATTTAAATTTAGATATATTATCGATTATTTCTATATTTCAAAATTTACGAGAAAATGATATATTAATGATAAATAATTCATATTTTACTTATTATCTAATAAAAAGTAAACAAAGTGAAATAAATTATTAAGAAGAAATTATGAGATTTGAAATAATGAAATATTTTTTCAGTTTTACAAAACTTTTTTTTTCACTTACAAACCAAAATTCTATCAATAGAAAAAAAAATTTTTTTTTGTTTTCAATAAAAATTATAAAATTCATAAAATAATTTTTAGTAATTTATAGCATAATTTTTTATTTTATTTTAAACAATTACTTACTTTCTTTATATTTTAAATCAAAAAATGTATTGCTGAAAAAAAAATTTAAGCGTTTCGAAAAAAAGAAATTATTCATTTGTTTTTACTTCAATTTAGCATTTATACATAAATAGATAAATGAAATATAAAAAAAATAAAAATATTGAAATAATTTTAAATAATTTCATTCATAATTACAGATTTGTTTCGAACCATTCAAGCAAAATATTCGTATACCAAAACTTTTACCTTGTGGTCATAGCTTTTGCAATGATTGTATTACTGCTTTAAAGTTTAATTCAATTTGCATATGCAAATGTCCAATTTGTCGTCACTCATTTCCGTTACGATATGATACAAAATTTCCAACTAATTACAGTTTGCTTGGTTTGTTTGTTTTTATTTGTTTTTGTTTTTAAAAAAAATTTTTTTTTTCATTTTTATTTTATTAAATTTTAATTGGTAATGGAAATAATATTTGTTATAATGTTATGATTAATAAATTTCTCGCATAATAATAAGATTAAAAATTAGATTTTGATCTATGAAAGAAGTTTTTCCATGATTTTTTGTTATTTTACTCACAAATTTATTTTTCGGTTTTGTAGTAATTAAAATTTCTTTTTAATTGCTTAATGGATTAAGAGTAAATTAATTTATGATATCACTGTTTTCAATTTAAATGATCCCTCGTTAATCATTTTATTTGTTTTTCTTTATTTTAAATTCAAAGTAAAGTTTAACTCAAAAGCTTCATAAAATTAAACTACTAATTAATGGAATATTAGAAACTTACATATTCAGTATTGTTAATGTAATTATTGATTATTAAATGTAAAATCTTTGAAATATTTAAATTTACTGCACTATAATACAAAGCAAATTTAATAGAACTAAATTTATGCCATATTAACTGACAGTTAAATTTGGAATAAATTGGAATAAACCATATTTCTACTATTTCTACTAATATTTCTACTAAATAAATCAAAATTCTATAAATGAGTTAAAAAGCTTTGTAAAATCTTTGCTGGAAAATTTTACTTCGAATTTATTTTTGTAGAAAAATTTCTTCTTCCATTCTTTACAAAATTTTCAATATTTTTTTTTAATATTATTGTGTAAAATATGTAAATGTTTTAACACAAATATTAATGAAGTAATATGGAAGCATAATTATTTAATTTATTGAAATTTATTGCCTATTTATTAGCAATAACTATTTGTAAATTTTTCAATGACATAAACTTTGTGCGTAATTTCACTAATTATATTTACCAAAATTAAAATTACTATAACTAATTTTTTTTTTTTCACCAAAATTAGAATTACTGTGAGATGATCAAATGACAAATGAACAAGCAAGAAGAATTTAAATATTAGCATGAATAATTTCAAATAGATTGCAATAGTTTCTTTGCATAATCATAATTAATAATTATGTTATTGTTGTAAAGCTAACCAATGATCTTTGAAAATGAACAAACAAATGAAAATGAAAAATTAAAGAAAAAAAAAAATTTTTTTTTACTTAAAAATTTTTATTGCATTCTTTAAATTCATATGCATTTTAATCGAGTGCATTCTTCATTTAACACTAATATTTAGAGCAATTTTTATACTTTTATGATTTCAAATTTGACGATGCATTATTAATTCCTTATCTAAAATCATCTTTGTAATAATAATTCTAATCATCATCATCTATCTTAATCCTTCAGTCATATCACCTATCATTTTATCTAATCATTGATCTTCTCATCCATTTCTCGCATCAAAAAAGAATATTATATAATCTAACTATAAAATTATCATCTAATTTCATTCTTATTTTCTGGAATTTATTGTCATCTAAGCAAACAACAATGACATATTTCATTGAAAAAAATGCATATAAATGACAAAAAAAAAAAAGAAAATCAAAATGTCTTCTATTGATTCTTTTACAAATATTGATTTAAATTCTTTTCTTTTTTTTTCCTTTTCTCTCTCTCTCTCTCTCTCTTTCTCTCTTTTTTTTTTGATTTGAAAGGCTGTGAAAGCAAAAAAAAAAAGAAATAAAGGAAACGGATAGTACACGTTGTATTGTGATTTGTAAATTTGAACTATTTTACAAATTTTCTTCCATCATTTCATTTTACATCGATAAAGATTTCATCTACTAATGCAAAGAGATCAGCAACAACCGGGAAATTTACCGGGAGAAAGAGGAAGAAGACGACATTCATCTAAATTCAGTTTATCATTATCAATTTGCTCTTTTCTTCCAGGTGAATCATTTATTTAGCCTTCAATTTATTCTTATCATTTTTATGCTTCTTCTATATTTCGATTATTTTTTTTTTTTTTTCTTCTATTTTATTCAAGATAAACTAGAAATATTTGTTGTTGGTTGTTAATTATGATGGAATGTCATCAGATAACTGATTTGATGATAAGTTTTAGCTAGTTGAATGAATTAAATGACTTGATTTAGTTATATGATCGAAAAGAATATCCTATATCATATCAGTTTATTATATTATCAACATTTCTGTTTTTTTTTTGCAAATTATTTTGATATATTTTTGGATTCTGAATAAATACCAAAAATTTTTCAGTGTAAAATAAATAAATGTTTGAGATGAATTAAAATTTGTAATTTATATGATTGGAAAACGAGGGAAAGGGAGTAGGAAATGAAGTAATTCATTTCAAAAATGAAAATGAAAATTGAAATGGAGAAATAAGACAAGAATTGATAAGATATTAATCAGTGAGAAAAAATGGACAACGAAAAAACTTGATAAAAGTGTACCAACAATAGCAATGAAATTTATACGTACGTGTAAATCACGTGAGATTTCATTTTTCTATTTATGCATAAATTAACATTAATTTGCATTTGTATGCAAGAAATGTGTGAGGAAATTTAATTTTTCTGAAAATTGTTTTCCATTTTTTTTTTCTCATGCAAAGAAGAAATTGTAATAATGAATAATTTAAAAAAAAAAATTGTAATAATTAATAATTAAAGTTCTTACTAGAAAATAATGTGACATTTAATTTTCAATCCTTTTTGGTGGTCAACAATTTATTTTTACCATAATATATAGTAAAATTGAATAATTCGAGTATATTTGAAATAATTTGATTTTTCTAAACAATTTTATTTTCTTTTTTTTTTTTTTTTTCACCAATCAATTCTGACAGATGGATAAATATCAATAATTCCTAAAAAATTAAATGAAATTATTTTCAATTATAGATTATTTTCGTTCTTTTTTTTGCATATGATGATGTTCTCATAACGTATTAACATGGCAATTAATTATATCAAATATTTTTTATTAATTATTGCACAAATCTCATTCGAAATAATTTCATTTTGTGAACTGTTTAAAAAAAAAAATTCAATGTAAATTCTTAACTCAACAAAGAGTATAAAAAAATTATCGAAAAATTATAATTTTGCTCAATTTTATTCCATACAGCATAACTTTTTATGAATTCATTTTAAATTCAAATTAAATGAAACAAAGAATTCTATAATATTATTTAAATTATATCATAATCCTCATAATCCTTAGTTTCGAATTATTTAAATTGTCATTTATTTGTTTTGGCTGTTTGAATTCATTGATAAATTAATTACATTATCAATCATTTTCCTAACAAGTGATAAATTAATTACGTTATCAATCATTTTCTCAACAAACTTCAAAGAAAAAATGTTCAATTAAAAGTTCATTGAATTTTTCTTTTAGATAAATTTCATTTAAATATGAATACATTTACATATATATATTTTAATGTGCGATTAATTATATTTTTATACATTTTATTGAACAAGTCATGAAATTAAAAAAAAAAATTTCATGATTTTTTAAAATTCAAATAATTTTATTAAATTAAAATGGCAAAAGAATTGTCATCGAATTACAGCAAATGTATAACTTCAATAAAATGTATAAAAATATAATTCCTAGTATGTATAACTTTCAATGATAGTTATTGTTATGCATTGGTCAAAAGTGAGTGGTCATTTTATTGATTTTAGGACTGACCACTACTCATTGTATCTTATTTAATGGAAGCTTGTGACATGACATCAATGCTATTTCAATAGCACAAAATATACAACGAGAAGGAAAAGATAAATGATGTAAAAGGAAAGAGAGGGAGAGAGAGAGAGAGGAAGAGAGAGAGAGAGGAGGAGAGAGAGAGAGGAGGAGAGAAAGTATTGAATTATCGAATTCTGGTAGCATAATTTTATGTTACTTCTCATATCAATTATAGCTATACGTCTGACCTTTGCACTCCTATATTTTCATCCATTTTTTTCGCTCATTATTATTCTTTTCATCTTATCTTTTCTTTTTTCTTTCTATTTCCATACCTATTCCTCTCTCTCTCTCTCTCCCTCTCTCCCTCTCTCTCTCTAGCAATTTTAATTAATTTAAATTCTGATTTTAATGCTGAATTAATGAATTTCATTCAAAATGATGCTTAGTATTCATTCATTAAAATCTAACATTATTACTACTAGTACAAATGCTATTATTACTTTACTTTACTTTACTTTATTAGTGGTACTACTTTTACTACTACTACTACTATTGTTACCATTGTAATTCACTATACTCTGAATTGTAAATATATTAAAGATTAAATTATTTTAAAAAAATCAGAATAAATTACATACACACAGATTCATAGTATCTAAATATACAGCTGATTTTATGAATATGTATGTGTGTCTGTGTATGTTTGCATGTATGTGTGTGTGTGTGTGTGTATGTGTGTATGGGATAATGTAATAATGTATGTAAGGTATAATAGAGAAAAGTTGACGATGAATTGTCGCTATTATAAAATTTGTTTACTTGAAGAGAAAAGAGTGAAATTGTGAAGTATTGTTGCAAATCTGTTCAGTGCTTATTGTTGCAATAAATTCTCTTTCCTTCCTATATAATAATTTAAATTATTTAATTAATTTATAAAACATTTTAGTTTCTTTTTTTTTTTCTTTGTACAAACCAATATTAAAAATTTTAAGAGAATTATTTTTTTTTTTTTTTATTGTTTGTTTAATACATTTTTGCATAATTTATAAATCATAAAATATGAATTTGTTAAAAATGTTCACTCGCATCAAATAATTTTTTTTTTCTTTTTTTTTTTTGCTATAGAATTTAAAATCAATTCTAATGATTAATTTAGCAGTTGATATTTTGAATTTTTTTTTTTGTTAAATGGAAAACACATTGCATTAATCATATCTATCTATTCTCATTTTCATATTATTCGTTAATTTCATCAATGAAATAAAAATTTTTATTCGACAATTTTTCCTTTTCCATTTTCTCTTTTTTTTTTTTTTTGATTTTTCAGCTTAATTAAAAGAAATAAGAGAATATTTTTCATAAATAAATAAAAATATTAGTAGCACAATGCTATATATTATCTACTCATTCTACTCATCCAGGTAGTATATTATATTTCATTTCAAATTCAATTCAAAATTTTTCAAATAATTCTCGAATAAAAACTCATAATGATATATTGATATTCAAACTTATTATTACACATTGTGAAACTTTTTTTTTTTGTTAAAATATATTATTCTCTCTTTGGATACACATTTTTATCTCTTTTGTAATTTTAATTTCTCTCTTTCTTTCTCTGTTACAATTTTAGGTCACATCTGTCATTTTCTTTTTTTTTTTTGCATCAAATAATTTTTTTTTCTGTTTTTTGCAGATTACATACTTTTTTTAATACCTTACTAAATTTGCACTTAAAAAAAAATATTAAAATTATCATTTAGCATTGAAAATTAAACGAAAAACAAAACAAATAATTTTTATTTTACTTTCAATTTTTTTTCTAATCAATTTATGAATTTCAAAACAAAAAAAAAAAAAAGCATTTAATAATTTGAATACTGAAATACATATATATATTGAAATTTGGCTAAAATTAAAATGATTATTCCTGGCTTAAAAATAACGAATTAACTTTTTATACTATTCTTATCTCTTTTTTTTCCTTTATCAAATAATCAAATTAGCTTAATTTTCAGCTATAATTTTCAGATCTACTTGATCGTCTTCAATCTTCATTCATGACAAAACAATCAGATGATATGGCATTAAAAAATGAAATCATCTTACCGTCAACTACCAACAAAAGCAATAAATTAAAATCATCAAAGATTCCATACAGCTCATCACGTTTATCACATTTGTTATCAAAGATTTCTCGAAAAGACAAGGTTTCAACTTTTTTTACTTTTAATAAAATTTCAACAGGTAATTTTCATTAGATCAATAAAATGATTGTAATTGTTATTATTACATAACATTCATTTTCTGTCTTTTTTTTTTTAATGCAAATTTTTAATTTTATTATGCAACATCTAATTTTAATGTTATTAATTTATAAATTTTTTCAAAAAATATTAACCAATACTAAAGTTAAATAAAAATTCATAGCTGCAAAGGATATATTTCAAATTTCTTATAATATTTGTTACAAGAAAATAATTATCATTAGATGATGATGAAAAATGACATTTAAAAATTTCCAATTCAGATGACAAACTATAAATTATAAAAAAATTTAACGGTATTATTAAAATAACTATCAAAAATATTTAATTGTCACTGATATAACATAGACAATGTTCAATGAAGATTCGATAATTTAGCTAATTATTCAAATTTGGCATAATTTCAATTGATAGGAGTAAAATTTTTGATAAATTTCAATGAAAAAAAAAAGAAGAAATAAATTTAAAATTTTTTTAAAGTTATTTTTTAAGAAATTTAAAATACTTTATACGATGCTAATTAATTTCATTTTTTTGAAATAATGTTTCTATAATTAAATGTTACGCTTTTCTTTCTTTCTTTTTTTTTTAACTAGAAATTTTAAACTTTACTGATTACATTAAAATTTTGCTATTATTTTATCCTCCTTTTTTTTTTTTTTTCTTTAGAAAACAGATAACTACTACATTTCCGCAGAATCGCCATTCACGTCAACTCCAGATATGTCAGGAGAAGAAGATGGTGTTGAAGTGTCATATGTTGAGACGGAAAGCGAAAATAACGGTGATTCCGAAAATACAATTCCGGCTGCTGATTCGGCAAACGTTAAAAGTACACCGAGTAGGATGATTTATGTTGATAGTGCTGTTTTGGACGACTCAACCACAACAACAACAGCATCACAAGACTATAGTAGTAGTTCCGCATCCGGGAATATGAACAATGAGGTCAGCTAGTTTAATTTGACCTCTTAATCTGTGCTTAAAAAGACGTAAACAATATTTGTTTGTATTTCACTTTTTTTCCATCATTTATCAATTTCATATTTTAAGAATTTAATTATTTGATATAATTAATCGAAATTTACTAATTAATATAATTAATGATCTTTTCTCATTTAATATTATATCGGAAAATTAGGTCAGCATGTTTAATTTGACCTCTTAATATGTGCGTTAAAAGACGTAAACAATATTTATTTGTATTTCACTTTTTTTCCATCATTTATCAATCTGATATTTAAAGAATTTAATCAGAATTTACTCAGATTTAATTACGCAATATAATTAGTGTCCTTTTCTCATTTAATTCATATTTGTTGCACGGATATTTGTTGTTTTGAATTTTAAAATTGTTTTTATTTAGCATTAAAATTTTTTTCACACTCGATTTTTTTTTTTTTTATTTTACATATGTAAAAATTTTTTTGAATTTTTTTTTTCTTTGTACATAAAAAATTCTAAAATCTGAACATATTTTTTTCAGGAACAGATGACAAGGACAAACATTATTACTTGTACAGAATCAAATGAACAAGTTATACAACCAACAACAAAGACAATTGTAGCAACTAAAGTTAATACAAATTCTAGGAATTTTTTGAAGAAAATTTGGTATGCATTGTAGTTTTTTTAAAAAAAAAAAATGTAAATTTAAAATAATATATGCTAATGGCATCGATTTTTGCTATAGTTGTCAACCACTAATTTATCTGTCCACTGATTAAATTTTCAGTTAAATATGATTGATAAGTAAGTATACTCATTTAATAGTGACAAGTATTTAATCATTACTAAATATTGATATAAACATTATCTTCATGTTTAAAAATTTATCTTTCTTGACATAATTTTTTTTTTTTTGAATTTTCTCCTTTTTAAAGAATAAAATGATTTGTTGAGTTAAACAAAAAAAAAATGTTAAAATATCGACCGCTAATAATTATAATTATTATCGTTTATGGAATGATGAAAAAAGATTAGTATTTTAGTATATGCATTTTTTTCAACATTATAACATTTTTTATTTTATTCGCTGTATTTCTAATTTACTACTATAAATTTTAGTAATATAAATATAACATTTATTTAAATAATGGAACTAATTAATGATAGAAATTAATTATTCTCTAATATTGATTATTGTTTACTACTTTCAATTATTATTATTATTGTTTTAATGAATGACTAAATTTTCTATTTTTAGGTGTATTACTACTATTAGCATACAATTATTCCTGGTTATTTTTATACTATTTTGGAGTTTAATCATCATTAAAATCTTTTATGATGATTATCATAGTATTCCACCAAAACAATCAATGCTATGTGGTACTGCTGAAATTATCAAAGAATGGTTATCATTAGATCTAACACAAATGATTCAATGCAATCATTATTATTCCAGTACTTTCTTGGAACGTTTACAACATGAAGCGGAAATATCCATCACATTTCTGATAGCACAATTGCGCTTCATTTCCACTATTTGGTCATCATTAACATTTGCATCATTTACTCAGTTATATAATGATTGGTTGCATGAAGTGGTACAAAAAGTGAAAGAAATTTTCAATGAATATTACAAAACTATTTGGACAAATTATTTGAGAAAGTATTATGATATGATTTTAATCAGTAATTGAATGATTAATCAGTAATTGAATAATTGAAAAATGTATATATTTAACTTTAGAATTGTACGGAAAAAAAAAAGAGAATGCTTTGAATTACTTATGATGAACAACTAGCAATTGTTAAAATTTTCATCATTTTATTACTTTTGTATGGTACTTGTTTTGTTCATAATATAATGGTGCATTACTTACAGTTTGAAATGTAACAAAATTATATTTCAAATGAAATAATACGATCATAACTTTAAAAAAGAATATAAATTTACCGAATCTAACATTTAGCTTTTCATTATTCAGAATTTTAGGAGAAACATAAATATGATTATTATTCTATTCAAATTTCCAAAAAATTCATTTTATGTTTGTATCTATCAAGAAGAAAATATATATATATGTTTACCAAAGAAACATTTAAAATAATGCATTTACATTCTTTTATGTATATTTTACATATTTGAAATGTATTATCGTTTTTGCAATTATTGTCATAAACATTTCCACCATTTTCTACAAATTTTCATTGTATTTTTCATTTTAAAATTTTTGATCAAGAAAAAAAAAAGGTGAAATTTTCTTAATAATAAATAAACTTTTATGAAACTATTTGTTACCCATACTACCACAAATATTATTAATTGATAATTGATCATTAAATAAGAAATGATACAAAGAGAAATATTTCATTTCCAATTCATATTTTAGTCCGCTCTGCTTTACATTAATAAATGATTTTGTATTACCTTAGAAATTCTAATTCATTAAAAACAAAACCATTGCAAACCGATCTATTTTTAAAATATTTGTTAAATGAGCACTTGCCAATTACAATCATATTTCAAACTCTTTTAAATAATCTTGCAATCAATTAATTCTGCTCTAAAGTATCGTTAATAATAAATGAATTTAGAATTCTGAAATTCAATCATACATTACAACTTATCCCTTTTCTTAAATTTCACATTTTCTAACATTCACCAACTAAAATTCCCCTCACAATTACTAATATTCACTTATAAACTATCTAAAACCAAATTGTTTACTAAGAAACAAATTAAATGATTGATCTCTGATTGTTTTAGATTTATTTACTTAACATAGATGTTCACAAAAAAAGAAAAAAATGCTAAATTATTCTCTCAAATGCATCACTCACAATTTTTTATTTGTTGAAAAACTTTTAGCAAAAAAAAAAATTTTCTTTTCAAATTTAGAAATGAACTTATATGAGGAAAAATAAGTAATAATGAATCAATTAGTTCCATTAAATCGTATAATCTTTCCCTTAGTTTCTTTCAAAAAAAACTTTTTTCCGTTCCGGTTGCGAGAAATTTCCATTCCTTTTTCCGTAAACTACAGCAATGAAACATTCAACCTCAAAACAGTTTTTGAAAGGAGATGTCGTGAATGATTTAAAGATTTAACTACTATTTTTGGGAGAGATTACTGATCTCGGGATGATTCGTTGCATGTAGATGTAAATATGGGCGGTAACAGAGAATAGTACAGTAATTTGACAGACAAGAATTGAAATTGAACTTTCCGGGTTCTTGGCAAAAACATACAATGACCCCTTTCAACGAGGGTGACCTCCTTATATAGCAAGCAATATGCGTAAACAACGTATGTGTCATTTACAATATGAGGTTGACCCCGCCGAAAGAGTAGTCGGTCTAACAAAGGGCTGTTGACCTGGTTTACAAGCAAATCTATTTACTAGTTGACAAGCAGCAAAGGACAACAGTTAAGCAAAAGTTGTTAACCTCGTAAATTGAAGGATAATTTACAACAATGAGGTCAACTGAATGAAGAGCTGATACTGTGTAAACAATATATAAAAGATTTACAGTCTAAACATAAGAGTGAAAACGAAGAGTTCACAAATATTACTTTCAAAATTTCATATAACAAACATATTTCTTACTCACATTTTCAACTTTCATATAATACTTTAGAGTTTTGGGATATTAAAATCTTCTATAGGAGGCAATTTCTCGTTGAAATGAAAATTTTTACTAGCATAAAATTTAAATCTGGAAGAAGCCTTGTAACTTGGCTTCAACAAAAACAAAGATTCAAGTTTAATATTTTTTTGAGGTATATTCTTCAACCTGCATCAGTTTTTTTTTCTCTCTGAGGATTCTAACAAAAATGAGTTCTCTCAGCTAGAGCAATGAATTCATATGAAATTCTAATTTGAGAAAACATGAAATGAGGCACATATTTTTGTAGTGAATATAAATTCTTCATTTGCACCGGCCAATATAACTCTTCCGCAGATATATTAGTAAAAAAATTTTAAAAATTTATCAACAAAATTTATAAGTTTAATTTTCATAAATTATATTTACACTAATTTATCTTATTACTCTATCACTTATGTTTTACTTAATATTTTTTCAGTAATTTTCATATGTTATCTCAATATATTATGACAGTATCCCTTCTAGCTATTATCACATTTTTTTCATCGGTCACCGTAATTTCCCATCTGTAATCCGGAAATATTAATGGAATTACATGTTTTATTAGCACTTTTCTTTTTTATTGTTTAAGTAAGACTTTTCTTCTTCTTTTTTTTTTTTGTAAAGTTCGTGAAGTTTCTAATCAGATATATTTTTTGTTAAAAGTTGGATAACAGACATTATTCAATTTTAAAAAAGTTTAAGAAAAAAAATGTTCCGCCTTTTTTCATTTCATTATTTTTACTGTGCTTTAATTAATCAAAATTTATTAATTAAATTCACTGCGATGTTTTATATTAATAATTCACTGGCACTTCTCTAAATAAAATTAAAATTTCACACAGTGTTGAGGATATTTTCTCGTAATATCTCGAATAAATTAACAAAAGCATATTTCAATAATTCTAATAATTAAATCTAAAAAATTCAATTTTTACGATATTTACCGCTTTTCGTCTTGATGTAAATAATAAATAGTTTACTTTCCTTACTTTTCTTGTTAATAACTTTTAGCAAAATTCTTCTTCAAGCAAAGTTCTCATTAAATATTTAATCAATTGCATAACTTGGTTTATCATTTTCACTGAGAATATTTTGGAATGATATCAGCTAAAAATTGATAAGTTTAATCTTCATTTTAATAACACTTTTTTTTAATTTTGATGACAATTTTGAGAAAATTAAAAAGAAAAATTGATTAAGGATTTTTTTAATAAGAAAGAAAGGGACTTTATATGATGGAATTTATCAGAAAATTTGATTTAATCTGACTTCTTTGTTGTTAATAAAACGATTGAGACGAAGCGTTTCACGTCGCACTCATCTTTAAGTGTTCTTATATTTATGATTTATGACGGACAATTTCAAACCAATGGTTAGTTCACGATGACGTGACATATTTGACATCTTGTAGTGAGAATTGTATTTTGTAGAGAAAAGGACGAAGTAATGGAATAACGAACTAGACCAAGTCATGATTTTTTCTTTTTTTTTTTTCAAAAAAAAAGATGTTTTTATGCTATTATTTTGAAGAAATTTTTTGAAAATGTATGGTGCGTTACATTCATACAATTTATTTATATTAATAATATACGCTTTATAACATAGGTGAATTGTTTTTGCTTGTTCAAAATATGCAGCGCTTATCGATTGTGATGTTCAAAGTGTAACTGAAGAATTTAGCGAATAACTATCAAATATTTAGTTCTAATTAATTTCTATGCATTAGGTAGAAACACAGTGTTGATGAATGATGAACGATCAAACGGAGAACGAAACGATTCGAATGCGACAAATTGGTAATTATTATATGCTCTATTTTACATTCATTCTCATATTTTCCACTTTTTGGAATTTTAAGCTGAATTATTTGGACACGAAAGTATCATCATCTTATGTTTACGATCTTTGTGACATTTTCTATCATAAATATAATTATTTTGATGGATATGTTCATACTTATAATATTTAATCATTTTTTTAACTTGAACTTTTTATACGATACTTATCATGACTTATCATGAAAATGAATAACTAAGTTAGGCTAGTAAGCAATCACGGGAGACGTATTTCACGTTGCGTGATTTCTGTTCATTTTTTTTTCAGCTTCTTTAAAACAGTTGTTAAATCTTAACCAACCGCTGCCAGTGTCGATGGCTGTGGAACCAGTCTGGAAAATACTTATTTTGGATCGCTACGGACAGGATATCATATCTCCGTTGCTAACGATCAAGCAGCTAAGGGACATGGGAATCACTTTACATTTGTATTTGTTAATTGTTTTTAGTTATCAATAATAGTAGATATTGCTTGTTCGGAATTAAACCTGTCATTCTTTTCTTTAGTCCACGCATTTCTGAGTTAAGAGCAAATGATTTAATTTTTGATTGCTAGTGATTTTCTCCGTATGGCTTAATTATGTAATAAGCTTTTGCAGACTTCTAGGCAGCCACCGTGAAATCCTGCCTGATGTACCTGCGATATATTTCATTTCTCCGACCGATGAAAATATTAAAATAATTTGTGATGACCTCAACAAAGTACGTAAAAAAATCGCTTACCGTTTTGGGAATCAGATTTGGTATTACGACTGTTTCTTAAATTGCTGAAATCCTAAATTTGGTGTATGTTTTTAATAGAAGTGTGTTTTAGACTTTAATGGGCATAGAATATGGTTGTTTATAACGGTCCTAAGATGTTTTTTTTTTTTTGGTTGCTACTATAATATAAACAATATAATGAATTAAGAGATTACTGCTTCTTTGATTAAGATATAGAGCAGAACTTCATTTTCAAAAATATTAGAAAAAAGGTTCTCGCAAACTCTAAGCGATTTCTCAAACACAATATTTGTGCTTATCTTTTGTTTACATAGTCATTAATATTGTATTTCAGGGAATGTATGATAGCTATTATTTGAATATGATTAGTCCATTGAGTAGGCCACGTCTTGAGCAACTGGCATCTGCTGCTGTCTGTGGTGGGACGGTTCAGCATGTTCAGAAGGTGAGATTTTAGGAACTTTAATAATTTAATCTTTTATTCAAT